ATTGATGAGGATTCAAAACTTTCTGCCAAAGAGAAGAAAAAATTGCTAGGGCAGTTCCATAAGTGTCACCCAGACATCTTTATTGAGTATTTTGGGGACTGAGTGTTCCAGTGTCTGTATATAACTTGTGTATTTTAAGAATAAATTATGTATCCTAAAGATCCAATCACATTGTAATATTGGATGTTCTTCCAGATATGAAACTGTACTTAATAAAACTTTTTTGTATAACTTTTTGTGTCTGAAACTGAGTATTAGATGGTGTATTGCTGTTAAGTATTGACCTCTTTTAGGTGGGTTGATTTATAATTATTGTGCACGACACTTAATAGAACATCCTAGGAATTTAAATGATATGACATTGCAGTGTTTTTATAAGAAAGTATTAAACAGTAAGGAAGTCTGTAATTACAAGTTAATAGGAGTATGGTTTGTACCTTGAAAGGTATACTTCTTAAAGATACAAGATAGAAACTTAGGCTATGCTACAGTGAATTTGTCAATTACCATAAACTGTAGACAAGTAAAAATTGAGCTGTCCTAATGCTTTTGAAAACTTCAACATCTTTTAAAGCTTATTGTGGAAAATTTCAAACATATACAAACATATACAAATATGTATTTCAAACATATACAAAGAACAGAATAATGAACTCTCATGTACTCATCATCCAGTTTCAACAGCTGTCAACCCATGGCCAATCTTGTTTAATCTATTCTGTGCTCCCACCTCAGCAAATTTCATATATCCTATCACTTCATCTATAAAGTTTCAGTATGTATCGCTAAAAGATAAGGACATTAAAAACATAACCACAGGGATTTCCCTGGTGGCTCAGTGGTTAAGAATCCGCCTGCTAATGCAGGGGACATGGGTTCGAGCCCTGGTCCAGGAAGATCCCACATGCTGCGGAGCAACTAAGCCCATGCGCCACAACTACTGAGCCTGCGCTCTGAAGCCCGTGAGCTACAACTACTGAGCCCATGTGCCACAACTACTGAAGCCCGCACACATAGAGCCCGTGCTCCGCAACAAGAGAAGCCACTGCAATAAGAAGGCTGCACACCGCAATGAAGAGTAGCCCCGCTCGCTGCAGCTAGAGAAAGCCTGCACACAGCGACAAAAACCCAACGCAGACAAAAATAAAAAATTAAATTAAAAAAAACATAACCACAGTGTCATTACACACAAAGCCACAATTCCTTAATATCATCAAAATGCATTCAGTGTTCACATTTTCTGATCTCAAATGATTTTCACAGTTTATACAAATAGGGATCTAAACAAAGTTCATAAAGTGCAATTGGTTAATGTGCTTCTTAAATCTTTTACTCTAGAGGTTTTTCTCTTTACCCCTCCTTCCTTCTCCTTTTCTCTCTTTCTGTCATTGAATAAACCTGGTCATCTGTTCTTGAGTTTCCCACAGTCTGGATTTAGCTGATTGCAAGCCTGTACTATCCTTTATCATGTTCCTCTGTGTCCTTCATTTCTTGTAAATTAGAGCTAAAGTCTTCAACTTTTTATCCAAGTTAATGATTACTTTGGAACTACTGCACTGTCAAGATATACCTGGCAAATAGACGTGCAATATAATACTTCTATAATACAATTTTAAATTGTGCATCTTCACAAAAATAAAACCAAAAGATTAAAGTGAGGCTGAGGGCTTCCCTGGTGGCGCAGTGGTTAAGAGTCCGCCTGCCAGTGCAGGGGACACGGGTTCGAGCCCTGGTCTGGGAAGATCCCACATGCTGCGGAGCAAAGAAGCCCGTGCTCCACAACTACTGAGCCTGCGCTCTAGAGCCCGTGAGCCACAACTACTGAGCCCGCGTGCCACAGCTACTGAAGCCCGCACGCCTAGAGCCCATGCTCCACAACAAGAGAAGCCACTACAATGAGAAGCTTGCGTACCGCAACAAAGAGTAGCCCCCGCTCGCTGCAACTGGAGAAAGCCCACGTGCAGCAATGAAGACCCAACACAGCCAAAAATAAATTTTTAAAACTTAAAAAAATATGTAGGAATTATGACCAAAGAAAAAATAATAAAATGAGGCTGAACTTTAAATTTAGACTTTTAATGAGAGGTAGGGAAAACTAAAATGATGTACCAATATGCTAGCATGTCAATCTTTTGTAAGATATAACTGATACTGACTAGTCTTTAAATGGGATAAAGTTGAGGACATATCTATAGTATAAAATACCAATTCTCCTAATAAAGCAGGGAATAACTATGTCAGGTGGGTTTTTTGTGGTGTGTATTTTGCTTTGTTGCATAGGCAAGAAAGGAAGCCAGCTCTCTACAATGAAGTGAAAGAGAAGATACTTCATAATTCAGGGGTGAGGAAGTTTTTAGAAACAAACTACTGAAAGTGTGGTGAGACCATAGTTGACAAAAACTGTGTACTACGTGATTTGCAACCTTTATTTTGCACTTCATGGAATAACATGATTATTTGGCAACAAAACTAACACCTCTCCTTCAGGGGAAGGCAGAACTGCCTAGTTATATTCATGGTCCTAGAAGAAGTGGCCTTCTAATAGAATGTTAATTTCATGGAAAATCTAGTAAAACCACAGTTTACCTCAAACTTCATCAGCACAAAGTTTTAAGAAAAATTGGTCATGTTTATGGCAAGCATCGTCAAAGTTTTAAACTACAGGTCTGGTGCTACCCTGAATGCCTTGGACAACCCTCTTGTATCACTAGAACTGTCAATCGTCATTTGCTGCTTGCCCTCATTCACTAATCCATGATGTCCTCTTGGAAAGCCATCCCCACTTAAACACCTGATGCCTAGGTGACTAAGAGCTTCCCCACCACTCTAGTTGAGTAGCCCAGGGCTAAGCACTGATCCAAGGACAGCCTACCTGGAGGCTAATGAGACTGTGCACAAAAATCAGCTTGGCCAATCAAATTCTGTATAGAAAGATCTAAATTTTGAAGGAGGAACGACTAAAAAATAAAGAAGCTAGTCTGTAGTGTAGAGAGGAGTGAAGCCAACTGCAGCAAGGAGTAGAGATGTGATGAAAGAGATCCTGTGTGTCCTGGGGAGATGATAGAGTAGTAATAATCTAGAGCAGCAGCCAGCTTGCTTCTTCCAAACCCTAGGTAGCCCGTCAGTGAAATCCCTTTACCTTGAGGTAATTTGAATTTCCAGTTCTTGTAGCCAAAAAGCAAACTGGAACATGTGTCAATGTTTTTAAGATTTAAAGGAAACAATTCAAAATATATCAAAAGATTACAAGTGAGCCATCCAAGTCGAATCAGTGGTTTTGGTGGTGTTGCAGCATCTTCTCCACATGTGAAAATTGTTTATACTCATCCTTCAAGGAAGGTAGGGGGACTCTCACTGGGGGCGTGGAGGTAGGGGTAGATCTCTCTAGGAAGGTGGTTTTAGCCTGGCTGCCTCTTAGAGTCACCTGGGAAGCTTAAAAATTCTTGCCTGGCATCACCACTCACCCCACCCCCCTGAGCTTCAGATGATAGCTTTAGAACCACTGCTCCCCAGGAGATTCTGAGGTGGAGTCAGGGTTGAGAACCACTCATCTAGAGACTATGGTATATTCGTCTGGACTCAGAAGTGAGAACTGAATGTTTTCTGCCTAAATCTTAGTTCCAGTTAACTGAGTGTCTTAACGTTTTTCCCCTCTCTAAAGTGAATCCTCATCTGAGAACTCTGTGTGTTTAAGGGAAAAATTCTTACTTCAATGTGCTAGTTAGTGAATGGTTTGAGGTTGCTGTATTGCCATCAGTCTTCAATACTTTAGGAGTAACTTTCCACGTGTGATCAATTTAGATGTAGCGTTTTTAAAAAATAAATTTATTAATTTATTATTGGCTGCATTGGGTCTTTGTTTCTTCACCCCTTGGAGGGAGGGGGGCTGGGGGGACTACTTTACCTTGCGGTTGCGTGGGCTTCTCGTTGCGGTGGCTTCTGTTGCTTTGGAGCACGGGCTCTAGGCGCCCGAGCATTCAGAAGTTGTGGCTCCCGGGCTCTAGAGCGTAGGGTCAGTAGTTGTGGCACGCAGGTTTAGTTGCTCCCCCGCATGTGAGATCTTCCCCGACCAGGGCTTAGAACCCGTGTCCCCTACACTGGCAGGTGGATTCTTAACCACTGCGCCACCAGGGAAGCCTGAGGTGTAGTGTTTGAAAGCACTAATTCCACTCCATCTTGTTTTGTTCTAGTTACTTAAATTTAGCAGCTTTTATAGGCTGCAGGTAGGAGACTTGTTACATTCATTTTAAGGCATATATGTTTGATGCTCAGTCTTAAAGCATTTTACTAACGAACAGTTGAGTCACGTAGCTTTTACTTTTTAAGATTAGGCCCCAAAACTATTTCTATTCGTTTAGCTTACTATCTTACTACTACAGGCTGAGAAAAGCATGGTTTTCTAGTTATCCAGCGCCGCGATAGCCACGGCCCGGGTACCTGGGACAAAAGGAAAGGAGGCTCCAGAACAAGCTTGTCTTAACATGGGATGTTTCCTTTCTAGAACGCAGACGGCACATAAAATGCTGAGTGCTCACTGTGTTTCTCAACTGTCTAAACCGAGCTGAACCCTCATGGGACGTGTTTGCCCCCTCACCTTCCATCTTTTCAGGGCTAAAATCTCGCTCTTCCTGTCGACAAAGTGTAGCAGCCACTTAGATAAAAGAGATGACCCAAACCAAACCGAATCTGTGCCATTAAAATGAGACTTGGCTATCAAGGTGGTGGGCGTGCCTTTTTTCTAACAGCCAAAATGAGGGGAGGGGAATGAACTATACGCTGCTACAAAACGTGATGTAATATTTAAATTTGAAAACCAGGGCGGGGAAAGCTTTGCAGCTAAACTGCCAACCCTTTTCCGTTATTTGACTGGCTCCGCGACCCCCCTCCCGCCGCCCGCCTTTCCGTACGGAAACATGGCGCCGCCCTCTGTGGCGTGGGGGTGCCTCCCGGCTCCGAGTCACTGCCCACTGGGCTCTCTCCGCCGGCATCCGGCCGCGCCTCCCGCCTTTCCGTACGGAAACATGGCGTCGCCCTGCGTGGGACCGGCGCCTCCGGGCTAAGAGATCTCTCCCGCTGTCCGACGCTGAGGAGGTGCGGCGCTGGCCGCTGCCCACCCGAGCCGGTCAAGGAGGACTGCTCGCAGCGCAGTGAGGGGTGCGGCCTCGGAGGGGCAGAGGCTGAACCGCCCTGCCCGACGCGCATCCTCCCCGCCTCCACCGCGGCGCCAGCCCCCGTCAGATTCCCGGCCGAGCGGCAGGAGGGAGGACGCCGACTCCGCTGCAGGTGAGCAAAGCGGAGGCTGGCAGCCCTGCGGGGCCCGCACGGGAGGAACAAGGTCGAGATTACGGGCATTTCTTCTCCTTTTTCCGTCGGTCAGTTCCCGGCGATGTCGGGTGGAGGCGAGGAAGAGGCAGAGAAGGCGGGAGGGTTGAGTCTTAGCGCGGCCTTTGTCCCACCCCTCGAGGCCGTCCTCCAGGCGCGCCCCGCTTCCTTTGCTTGCTCCCGGCCCTGCCACTCCCTCGCCGGCCCAAACAGTTGTTTACAACGGAATCCGGACGCTGGGTGTGAGTGGCGCTGAGTGCTAGGGGAGGTGATTCTCGCCGGCGCTGGACAGAGCTCTTTTGCTGAAAGACCCTTTCTCCTGGGGGAGTCTCTTGTGAGCAGCTTGGGCTCGGCTTGCGGCTCAGATAGACGGTCTTTACGGCAAGTGCGAGGGTCTTCTACCCCTCGGTTCCCTTTTTAGGCATAGCAGGAGTTGGGGCTTGTTGAGTGAATGAGCACGCTGTACGCAGTTAAATGGTTCCTCGCTGCATCCTGTAGTCCTCTAATTATAGTTATAATTTGTGGGAAGCCTGTTGTGCACCAGCTGTCGTTATGTACGCTCTGTCGTTTACACGTCCCCCAAACCCAAGAGGCAGGTAGCTGCATTTTACAGTTGAGGAAATTGAAGTTAACACAGCTAGTAAAGAGCCAGAATTGGAACCCAGCTATGTCTGAGACCAACGCCCATGCGTCCCGTATAAACTGACATTAAAGAGATGACACAGCTATCAACAAATACTTAGTGGGTAATCTGTTTGAAGGATATACTTATATGTGTGGAGCATACGTAGGGAATGTGGTTGGTCTGGCCCTTAAGAAGTTAAAAATCTAGTTGAAGAGTTTTTTAAAAAATAAGAACTTGTAATTTTACCATCTGACCCCAACCCATCTCTCCTTCTTCATCACCTGCTGCTTGTTCGTCTACTTATTTTCTTCTGCTTTCGCTTGTGCCCTTTGAGTGAAATGCTGCCCTTTGTGTGAAAGGCCCCCCTTTTCACCTCCAGATAGTTTTTTGGTTTTTTTTTTTTTTTTTGGCCACACAGCCTGGCTTGCCAGATATTAGTTCCCCGACCAGGGATCGAACCCGTCTCCTCTGCAGTGGAAGTGCTGAGTCCTAACCACTGGACCGCCAGGGAATTCTCTCCAGTTGGTTTTTAATTGGGTGAAATCCTACTCTTTTCAAAAAGACAAGCTCAAATGTCACCTTTTCTGGTAAGGTTATCTCAACCTCCTTCCAGGCAGAATTAGTTTCTCCCTCTGCTGTATTCCCCTAGTGATTTCATAATGCCATTAACGCTTAAGTTTCACTATATTTCCTTGTAAGACTGTCTCTCTCCCTCTCTAGACCATGCCTTTTCATCGTTGTATTCCTATTTAAATCAGGATATTTTGAATTGGATTTAAGGCAATGATGAATGCCAGATGTCTAATAGCCATCCCTACAGGAGTTCAGAGAAAGGTGCAAACATTGGTGAGGTTGGGAAGTGACCTGGGAGGAGGTAGGCGTTGAGCCGAATTTTACAAGGATGGGTTAGTTTACTAAACTTAGTATTAAAGACCTGGAAATCCTGATTTTCCTCCTTATTGCACAGAATGCATTACTTCATCCTTCTGAGCTAATTCCCAGCATATGAAGAGGATAAAATTAGAAGTGTTTTTGTTGGTCCTTTCTCATAGAATATGCTGGTAATGTTATCTTTTGGGTCTTGGAGCATTTCTAGAGCCAGACAGGATTTAGGACAGAGGAGATGGGTGTCTGGAGTGGGTTGCTGGAAGGTAAAAGGGAGCTACATTAAAGCAACCTTCATGTTAATAATACAGGCCTGAAAATGTCGATTCCAATAGCTTCATTCTATTTAATGGGGGTATCTGATGTTCAGATAATTATATCAAGTGATTCTTCTTTTCTAATGTACAGAAGAGAGTCTGCCAAACCTCCTGAAAATAGTCATTTCTTTTGATCCCTGGATTAACATCCAGGTATGTAATAAAGTCTGATTAGTGCTTATGGAAATGTTTTGTGATCTCCAAGCGCTGATAGTACAAATGCTAATATTTTCAGTATTATAAATGCAGAAAATGTTGTGTCTTTCTTTGCCCTTACTTAGAAACACATTAAGAATAGAGAACTCTAGGGAAAAACTTGACAAAAACCATTTATAGTAATTCAGAGGTTACTATTCCAGGCCTTTATCAACCAGGCCCAAACCAGCGTGTTAAGTGTTACTCCTCTTCTAATCAGCAACTAAGACAATTAAAATCCCTCCCAACCACATACATTATGGTTGTCTGCAACTTCCTACTTTACTCACCATCTTTTCCTGCTGACTGGCAAGGAGTTAACAAAAATAATTTGCCCCACACATTTTTCCTAAATGCTCCATGAGATTCTGCCTTCTGTTTGTCATCCCCAGGTGTCTTATCCACATAAGAGGATCAGGGAACCAACTCCTCAGCCTAGTGTATGTTTAATTCGAAGCCCGATGAAAAGCATTATTTCCAGAGTTTTCCTATCACTTCTCAGGACTGAAAGTAAAGAATTTAAGAATTGAATCACTCTTTGATTAAAATAGAAGCAGGGGGCTTCCCTGGTGGCGCAGTGGCTGAGAGTCTGCCTGCCGACGCAGGGGACATGGGTTCGCGCCCCGGTCCGGGAAGATCCCACATGCCGCGGAGCGGCTGGGCCCGTGAGCCATGGCCGCTGAGCCTGCGCGTCCGGAGCCTGTGCTCCGCAACAGGAGAGGCCGCAACAGTGAGAGGCCCGCGTACCGCAAAAAAAAAAAAAGAAAAAAAAAATAGTAGCAGGCAGTTTATAGGGTTACCTCCCAACAGTTTAAGGCCCTGTGTTCTCATGACATGGTACTCAGATTGGGACAGAAGTATTCGAACTTGTTACTCTCTGAAGTACAGGTCCATAAATTTGATAGTTACAAGTGTCATTTTACAGGTGGTCTGTTTAATCATTGAAGTAGAATATTATAGCTGGATAAGACTTTAGCAAGCCCATTGATTTTTACAGATGAGAAATCTGAAAGCCAAAGAAGTTAAATCATTTGCCCAGAGTCACACTGCTAGTTAGTGTCAGAGCAAGAACATTTTGGTTCATTTTCTTTTTCCCCCTAGGAAAGTGAATGAACTTAATTGAGAATGTCTGAAAACCTTGACAAGTCCAATATAAACGAAGAAGGAAAATCAAAATCAAATGATTCTGAGCAAGGCCTTGAAGATGCTGTGGAAGGTTCTGATGAAGCTTTACAGAAAATAAAGTCGGGCTCTCCTAGCACCCAAAGACTGCAAAGACCTCACTGTAAGCACATTTGACTTTGGTTAGAAGCAATATCTTCATTGTTTTCAGATGATATTTTATTATGCTTCCTTGTGCATGTGGCCTTGAACTAGGTTCTAATAATATGATAACATTGCCAATCATTAGCATTTTAGCATTAGCAACTGACAGCCTAGACACTTTTGGGTTTTCAATTGCATGAGAAATTACAATTTTAGAATAATGTCCAGAATATTCCTGTTTTCCTCCAGCCTCAGTGACATTCCAGTTTGTCTGAAATGCTCTGAGAAATAGGAAGGTGGAGTGCAAATAGCAACTTTAATTAAAAGAGTGTTTGGAAAGCCCAAGGCAGGTCCCAGCTAGGACTGTGCTTGTGCAGGTTGAAAACAAAAGTTCTTGACTGTGCGTGAGTTCACCACACCCTAACTTCACTGCCTGGGGGCTTAGTTCCCACAAGGCTGAGGGGATTCGCTTTGCTAACTGTGTGTGGTGAAGTCACTTCAGATCCCTGGCAGGGAGCAGGCTTCGTAGATGAAAGGGTGGCAGTTTCCGCATGCATTCCCAGCAGTTGCTCCAGCTCATGTCTTTTATTAAGAACACTCGAGGTTTTTGAAGTGAGCGCAAAAATGAAAGTTTTAAGAGGGGGTGTCATAGTCTAAGAATGTTAGTGTTGATGTTATCTCTTTAAAGTATAGATGATCAGTAATCCTTCATATTTGGAAGAAGTACAAACATTTTGGGGTTTAAGGTGTGTTTCTTTTAAAATGATAAAAGCCCCTCCCAGGTAATTTATTAGTCAACAGAGTATTCTTATAGCAAACATTGGTGGACCCCATTTTATTGTGGTTTATTATCACATAGATTTTGATAAATATACTGCTAGGTCAAATTGTGTTCAGGGAAGGAAATATGCTGTTAATAACAGCCTATCATGCATGTGTTAGGCCTTGTCTCCAATATGTATAGTTAGAAACCATCTGTTTTCTCGTTTTTAAAATAAGGAAAATACACGTTATCTCTTAGGGTCGTTGAAAAGTTTAAATGAATTCATGTAAAGCCCTTAGAACAGTGCTTGGCACATAATAAATGCTCAGTAAACATTAGTTGTTAATACTACTGCTACTAACATGTCATCTGTTGCATTTATTTACTTACTATAAAAAAAAATTTTTTTTTTTTTGGCCGCATCACGCGGCTTGTGGGATTTTAGTTCCTCGACCAGGGATTGAACCCACACCCTGGGCAGTGAAAGCGCAGAGTCCTAACCACTGGACTGCCAGGGAGTTCCCCCATCTGTTGCATTTAAAGATACCAAGGACTGATAGCTGTAATGTGGCTGTCTATGGCCAATATGGTAGTTTTATCACTTGCAGTTTCTGGTAAAGAAGTACCTTTGGTTTAGATCTTCAGTTGTTCTTTGATTAATGTCCTTGTCTTTGGCATCCTGTCAGTTTGATGGCATGATTCCAAATTAATGTCAGGCCAACACTAGACTATCTGAAATTGTATGTGGTTATGTCCTTAAGGCAACTTATCCTGGGACCCATGATCAAGAGTTGGGGAACCCAGGAACAGTCAAAAAAGTGTATCAACATGTGTGTGTATGTGTATTTTTCTAGGAAGAAGGTCATGGAAGCTTTCATTAAATTCTCATAGAGGTCCATATCAAAATGAGGTTTAAAATCAATGACCTAAAATATTGGCTTTCTTGCTCTTTCTCCTTGTAGTAATAGGTAGGTATAGGGCTGTGGACTCCAGTGGTAAAACTAAGACCCCATAGTCTGGGGACCAGGTCAGGAGACATCACTGCCTGCATAGAGCATAAATAAGAATTTATAAAATATGAAATTAGCTGTTTGCAGACATTTCTCCCAAACTGAATTTATAAGTAACTCTAAAATCACATCTGGGATGCTACAAATTAAAAGCAAAAAGATAGCCTTTAGCCTTGCAAATTATAATACAGAGTAATGTTTTAAGGGTAGAACTGCTATTGCTAACTGTGATACTGTGATTTATTATAGGAAATGTTTGGTTTTCGTCCTGTTTCTGGCACAGAGCTGCTAAACTATTGGAATTTCCTAAGTGATGAGAGCTAGAAAGATGTCTTTTGTTAGACTTGGAAAGCACCTAGGTAACCTAACCGAAGGATGGCATCTTGTTTGCCAGGGGACTCAGCCTTGTGATTAGAGGGTTGGAACTTTCAGTCCCACCCTCCCACTCCCACCTCTGGGGAGGAGGGTGGAGCTGGATGTTGTATCAGTTGCCAATGGCCAATTATTTAATCAAGTTTGCCTAGGTAATGAAGCCTGCATAAAAACCCAGAAGGATGGGGTTCAGGGAGCTTCTGGGTTGGTGAAGACATGGAGGTGCTGGGAGAGTGGCACACTGCTTCCCTATACCTTGCCCTATGCACCTCTTCCATCTGGCTGTTTCTGAGTTACATCCTTTTATAATAAACCAGTAATCTAGTATGTAAAATGTTTCTGTGACTTCCATGAGCTGCTCTAGTGAATTAATTGAACGCAAGGAGAGGTTGTTGGAACTTCCCATCCATAGCCAGTCTGTCAGAAGCAGAGGTGACTTGCTACTTACTAGCCATGTCATTTTGGGCAAGTTACTTAACCTCTCTATGCCTATTTCTTTATCTGAATGGGGACAATAGTAATTCACTATTAGTTCAAAACTAGTTCATGTTGCTAGGATTGTTAGAGGATTAAATGAGATACTATTTGTAAAGCATTTTAGAATGGTGCCTGGTTCATAGGAAGCAAAATAATGTGTTTGTTTAAAACAAATAGACTTATTTTGATAACATTTAACATCAGTTTATGGTAAAAACTCTCAGCAAATAAAGAAGAGAACATCCACAAAATATAAAAGGACATTTACAGACTCTTACAGTTAACATCATACTCAATGGTGAAAGAATGAATGTTTCTCCCTGTAAGTTTGAGAACAAGACAAGGATATTTACTCTTACTACTTTTAATTAAAACTGAACTGGAGATCCCAGCCAGGCAATAAAAATAAATAAAAGGTATCCAGTTAGGGAAAAAAAAAAAAAGTGACAATCTGGACTTGGGACTGTTGCCTGAAGTGGCGGGGGGGCAGGGGGCTCAGTCTTGTAGGACTGAGTCCTTAACCTGTGGAATCTGATGCTGTCTCCAGGTAGTGTCAAAATTGAGTTGAATTGTACGACACCCGTCTGGTGTCAGAGAATTGCTTGGTGGTGTGGGGAAAAAACCTTCACCCCACTTCCCCTGCATGTAATGGAATTTGGGTTCAGAACTTTTAGTAACTGATACAGAATGTAGAAAAAGGTCAACATCATCATTCCTCCGGTTCTGAAGAGTCTGGGGTCTCAGCATGCAGTTACCATCCTCCACCTGGGTGGGGGCCTTAGTTCCTGCAGAACTCAAAGATATGTATCACATTGTTATGCATATCTTACTAAATTACTGAGATCTGTTCAAGGGCAAGCACTGTGGCCAGGCTTACATCACAGAGTGGCTTAGGTCAAAAATGGCATCTTGTGTCAAGAGAGTCATGCCTGGTTCTTTTTCTCTGGAGACCACCTACCTACCCTATCTGCTTACAATATTTTGGGACTATGCAGACATCCTGTTTCTGCTTAAACTTCCAACTCACTGATTTTAGCCTTTACCAGTGATCTTGCCTGCACCAATATTACCCTTTTATTCTAATGGTGATTTTTAAAAATTGAAATATAGTTGATTTACAATATTGTGTTAGTTTCAGGTGTATAGCAAAGTGATTCAGTTATGTGTATATATATATATTTTTTCAGATTATTTTACTTTATATGTTATTACAAGATAATTGAATATAGTTCTCTGTGCTATACGGTAAATCCTTGTTGCTTATCTATTTTATGTATAGTAGTTTATATCTGTTAATTCCATACTCCTAATTTATCCCTACCCTTCTCCCTTTCCCTTTTGGTAACCATAAGTTTGTTTTTCTGTGTCTCTGAGTCTGTTACTGTTTTGTATACAGATTCATTTGTATCATTTTTTTTTGGAGTTTTTTATACTTTTTCTAAAAAATTTATTTATTTATTTTTGGCTGCATTGGCTTTTTGTTGCTGTGCGTGGGCTTTCTCTAGTTGCGGTGTGTGGGCTTCTCATTGTGGTGGCCTCTCGTTGCGGAGCACGGGATCTAGGTGCGCGGGCTTCAGTAGTTGTGACTTGCAGGCTCTAGAGAGTAGGCTTAGTAGCTGTGATGCACGGGCCCAGTTGCTCCGCAGCATGTGGGATCTTCCCCGACCAGGGCTCGAACCCCTGTCCCCTGCATTGGCAGGCGATTCTTAACCACTGTGCCACCAGGGAAGTCCCTTTAATATACTTTAATTCTCTGCTCACAATGCACCCTTTGCTCTAGCATTTAATCACCTAGTTGATCAGTAAAAGTTGCCATATTCAGATGAAAAACATCAATTGTTATTCCAGTTAATATTTCCCATTTAGCATTTTAATTTATTAAATCAGGTCCTTATGAGATTCATTAGATAAACGGGTGACACCAAGTTCTTACCTTTCTAAAGTGCAAGACCAGACTGAATTATGGTGTCCCTATATTTAATCAATCAATCAGTGTTGATTGACTGCACACTGTGTAGCGGGAGTCCAGCAGTGAACCAGGCACACGTGCTCTCCGTCCTCCTAGAGCTTGCAATCTAGTGAGGAAGATACTGTAACAAACCATTTCCACACAGTGTAATATGTTCAGTGGATAAGCTTTACCCTTGCTTCACTATACTCAGTCTACAGTAGCTCTTTGGGTGACATTTGCCATCTGCCCTCAATAAATGTCCATCCACTTGTGTGACTGGAAGCATCTCTTTAGAGTGTGTAGACTTTTCTGGTCCCGGAACCCCTTAGTGAAGAAAGGTGAGAGTAAGCCATTCTGAATTAGACCTTCATTTTATTTTGGAATCTGTTTGGCAGGCTCCCAAAGGGCATGTTTAACTTAATGAGGTTTTCAGTTTCTGTAACAGAGTGTAAGTGCACAAATGCTGTAACAATTTAGCAACAGTTTTAAAAATATTTATTTATTTATTTTTGGCTGCGTTGGGTCTTTCTTGCTGTGCACGGGCTTTCTCTAGTTGCAGTGAGCGGGGGCTACTCTTCATTACGGTGCGCGGGCTTCTCATTGCGCTGGCTTCTCTTGTTGTGGAGCATGGGCTCTAGGCACGCAGGCTTCAGTAGTTTTGGCACGTGGGCTTCAGTAGTTGTGGTTCGCGGGCTTTAGAGCGCAGGCTCAGTAGCTGTGGTGCACGGGCTTAGTTGCTCCATGGCATGTGGGATCTTCCTGGACCAGGGCTCAAACCCGTGTCCCCTGCATTGGCAGGCCGATTCTTAACCACTGCGCCACCAGGGAAGTCCCTACTGTACAGTCTTTTGTATCTGACTTTTTCACTAGGGATAATGCTTTTAGGATTCATCCATGGTTTTGCATGTGTCAGTAGTTTGTTCCTTTTTTATTGCTGAGTACTATTACATGGTATAGTTATACTACAGTTGTTTATCCCTTCTGCTGTTACTGACATTTGGATTAGTTCCAGGTTTTGAATGTAATGAAGAAAGCTGCTATGAACATTTGAGTACAAGTCTTTACATAGCCATATGTTTTCAGTTTTCTTGGGTAAAGACTTAGGAATGGGGTTGCTGGGTCATGTAAGTGTATGTATGTTTTACTTGATAAGAAACCGAGAGACTGTTTTCCAAAGTGACTGCAGCATGCGGGATCTTTTTTTTTTTAGTTGTGGCATGTGGACTTCTTAGTTGTGGCATACACGCGAGATCTAGTTCCCCAACCAGGGATCGAACCCAGGCCCCTGCATTGGGAACAGAGTCTTGAACCTGCTGGACCACCAGGGAAGTCCCTCATTTTCTTAATAGAGTCTTCCACAGAGCAAAAGTTTTGACTTTTGGTAAAGTTTAATTTATCAGTTTTTTCTCTTACATTTTAAGCTTTTTGTATCCTATCTAAGAAATTTTGCCTAATCCAAGATCGCAAAGATTTTTGTCTGTGTTTTCTCTTGGAAGTCTTATAGTTTTAGCTTTTATATTTAGGTCTGCAGTTCATTTTGAGTTAGTTTTTATTTATCATGTGAGGTAAGGGTTGAGGGTCATTCTATTATTTATAGATTTCTAATTGTTCCAGCACTATTTGGTAAAAAAACGAATCTTGCCTTATTGACCACAAATATACATATGTATGTGTGTGCATCAGTCTATTTTTGGATCCTCTGCTCTGTTCAGTTCGTCTATATGTCTGTCCTCATGCCAGACGCACACTGACTTGATTATTAGCATTTTATAGTAAGTCTTGAAATCACTTAGTATAAGTCCTCCAACTTTATTCTTCTTTTTCAAAATAGTTTTGGCTTTTCTAGGCCCTGTGCATTTCCATACAAATTTTAGAATCAGTCTGGCAATTTCAACAAAAACTTTGCTGGGATTTTGATTGGGATTGCATTTTATCGGTAGATCAATTTGGTAGAAATTGACTTCTAAATAATACTAAGAATTGAAAAGATCTGTTGGGCCTTGATTTTAGATATTTATTGCATTTTACCAATATCCACAAAGCCAATATTCTTTATTATTTTTATTAATATTCCCTGGAAATGCTGAAAAAAATTTTGTGAGTTTTCTCAACTTCCCCTTATGTGAGTAAATAAAGATTTTTACCAGACAGAATATGACCAGCTCTTAGATTTGATTCCTTTTTCTGGTGAGCAAAAGAAAAAAGTAAAAGAAGAGGGAAAATAACTTTTCACTAACCTAGGAAGATCTTTATGTTTTAAACCCTGTGTAAACCAGTGGCATTTTTATCTCATTTAAGCCCAGATCTTATCAACATTACATAAAATTAATATAATCATCTTCTAGGCCAGTGCTTTTCAAAGTGTGGTTTCTGAAACCATCAGTATCAGCTGGAGTCTTATGAGAGATGCAGTTCTCCAGCCCCATCCAGACAGGCTAAATCAGAACCCTGAGAGGGGGCCCAACAATCTGTCTTCATAAGCCTTCCCTGTGATTCTGATATAAACTAAAGACCTGCTATCATGGACTTTTTTTTTTTTTTTTGCGGTACGCGGGCCTCTCACTGTTGTGGCCTTTCCTATTGCGGAGCACAGGCTCCGGACGCGCAGGCTCAGTGGCCATGGCTCACGGGCCCAGCCGCTCCGCGGCATGTGGGATCTTCCCGGACCCAGGGCACGAACCCGTGTCCCCTGCATCGGCAGGCAGACTCTCAACCACTGCGCCACCAGGGAAGCCCTATCATGGACTTTTTAAAAAAGCAAACAAAATAACCCAGCTTTATTGAGATATAACTGATAAATCAAAAATGCAAGTATTTAATCATAGACTTTTTAAAAGTAGGAATTACCCTTTGTTCCTTGGCTTGGAACACCTGGGGAGATTTGTGAGAACTTTTTTTATGGAAGATAAATCTCAAACTTTATCAAAAGAAAGCAAAGAACAGAGACCAGTTATGAGGCTATTGCCACAGTTGACACAGAAGTAAAATCTGCAGGACCTGGATAACAGAGCAGTGGAAAGGGAGAAGTCAGAGATGACTCTGAGGTTTTTGATTCAGTGGGCCTGCATTCTACAAATTCTTGTGTCACACACTCTAATTTGTTCATTTGTCAACTTCAGAATTCTTATATTGTCCTAGTATCCTGTACAGGGTAGTGGTTTTAGCACTTTTTAAACAGCACCTGGCTCAAGGCTATTTTAATTTGGGGAGACTGGTTCAAGGCACAGTGTTAACGATGGAGCAAAATGTAAACTGCTGATGGGAACAAAAGAGAAGATCCTAAATCTGGTGTCTTTTTTCCATTTAGGGTAGACAGGAGGCATAGGGATTAGAAAATAAACTCTCAGCTTGCTGGGAAGGTGATAATCAGTAACTTTAAAAAGTTTTTCTAAGTCTTAGTTTACTGTAATCATTTTCCATTGACCAGTTCTGGCAAAAAAAAAAAAAAAGATGTTTTGAGTGTTGTAAATGATCTGTGCTTTTAGGATTCCAGGTTAAAAGAAAAAAAAGAATATGAAATAGGTAAAATTCTATTTGAAATTGCCAGAATATTTTCATAAGTAAAGGGATAACTGAAATTATTAGCTGGTACCAGAACCACTACCTTCTCCTTAATTTAATAGAAATCCTAATCTAGAGGAACAGACCTCTTACACTGGATTTTTGTTATAGCTAGTCCTCCTCGATTCGTGACAGTAGAAGAACTTCTAGAGACAGCAAAAGGAGTAACTAACATGACCATAGCCCATGAAATTGTCATAAATGGAGACTTTCGGATTAAACCAGTTGAATTACCAGAAGACAGGTAAGGTGGTTACTGAGTTATCTTGTTTGGTAGAACAAAGCCGTTTCCCAGCTCTGGAAATGTTTTCTTCACTTGATGTCAATATATTCTAATATATTTTTCCTTTTGTATGTTGCTAAAATATATTCCTTATCCTGGGAATTACTAGAGTTCGATAGTAGATCTCAGGACCACTGATCCTTGACAATGTAGTAAAAGGTCTGGAAACCTCCTGTGGAAGTCTTGCGTGTCAGCTTCTTCCCACTCCATAGGATTTAGCTGCCGCCTCTTGTGTGTTCATTGTACTGTCTCCTTCATTTCTTCTTTGTAACTATCACATTTTACTGTAGTTGTTGGTTTACTTGCATTCTTCACCAGATTGTAAACTCCTTAGAGACGAGGACTATGCTTTATTCTCTATCCCTACCTAGTACCTGGCACATATCATATTGAATCTAAAATTCTGTTGATTGTAAGGTGCACCTTTTAAAGATGGATTGTCACAAGAAGGAAGAAACATTGCCCATTACAATTGTGAAAGTACCATGAAAAAAATCGGGATTCTGTTGACAAAGGAGGAGCAATGGCTGCTGGGTCAGCAAGCCATAGTGTCTCCCGCATGAGGCTTCTGAATATGACTTTACAAACATTTCTTATATGTTCTGCAAGGATAGTACTTTTTCACATTAATCATGAAGAATTAATTACTTGTTTTGCTCTCATGACATAAAGATTGGTTTTCCTGAAATGCTATATATAAGTTGTTATATTAGTAGTTTGGTACCTAATTAAACAGTTGTCCAGTATGTCACATGGGAATAGGATAATTTTAGGAAACAAACTTAAAGTTTAAAGTCTTAAACTACTTAATCATAAATATCTTAGGAAACTTGCTGGTATCGGGGAACTTAAATTAACAGATCTGAACTTTCCAGTATTCTTTTTATCATATGGCACTGTTATGGGCTGTTATTTGGACTAATGTCACCTGTCAAATTAGTTGAAAGTTATTTTTTCCAATGAGGTACTTATTGAAATAAATCACTAACTAAAAATAAGTATGTGATTGGTTTAGGTATATCTGGGAAATCTTTCCTTCATCCAAATAATTTAAAAAAATTTTCTTACCCTAAACCTGTAGAATTTGTGCTTTTGAAAGTAATTTGAGGCAATAATATTTTATTTGCTTTTGCCTTTTTTTCCATTTGCCTCCAGCTTGGAGAAGAAAGTAAAGGATATTGTACATAAAGCTTTTTGGGATTGCTTGAGCGTCCAGTTATGTGAAGACCCCCCAACTTATGACCAGGCCATCAAGCTTGTTGGTGAGATCAAAGAGGTGAGGCGAAGAGCAAGTCGTGGTGCTTTCCTCGTATGTTAGGAGTACTTACTCATCCTGTGTTACTGTGCCAGAAGGCGTTAAAGAAATTGAAGGATCAGGATTCTAAATTGCTTGCCGAAATGTGGATTTAGGGTATTTTTGGCTTACTGGTCTTTAAAATTTTTCAAAGAAGCTGTGATAACCTGAGGGCATTACTCTTCTAAATGAAAAGAAGGTTCATATTTTTGAAAACAGAATTATTTAAAGAAAACAAGTTATTTTATAAAATACAGATAATTTATAAAATTTTTAATAGATGTTAACACCTTCAATAAATAATGACCATAAAAGCGATTCAGTCTTTGGGACAGAGAAGGCATTAAGTGAAAGGTAGAACTGTTTTTGCAATACCTTTAGCAACAGTTTTCCAAAGAAGTAATGTGTCTGTGGAAATTGCCATCTGTTGTTAGCTCACAGGCACACACTAATTAATGTGGGTTGTTTTTTTTTTTCACTTCTAACAGTTTTTTCTTCCTGCATCCAGTTGATTGCTACCTAGAGCTTAAATGGAAGCTTAAATAGCTAGTCTAAATGATTTGTAAACATGTTTTTCTGTCAATTTGTTGAATAAGAGGTTAAAATGTGTGCACCATTACAATAGCAGTTGGTAAGCCCTTATTGGAATAATTGTAAATTCCTTTACATATAATCAAAAATGGCTTCTGACTAGGAAGCTTTGATTAAACTTGGCTGTGCTCTCTTGTAGACGCTCTTATCTTTCTTGCTGCCTGGTCACACTAGACTGAGAAACCAGATAACAGAAGTCTTGGATCTGGATCTGATAAAGCAGGAGGCAGAGAATGGGGCCTTGGACATTTCCAAGCTGGCAGAATTCATTATTGGCATGATGGGGACACTGTGCGCACCTGTTCGAGATGAGGAAGTGAAGAAACTAAAGGACATTAAGGAAATAGTGCCCCTTTTCAGGTATGGGCACTGTGTTAATCACCTTCAGGGCACCTAAAATACAGAGCCTATTTTCAGAGTTAGACTTCCTCAAGTGTAGGTATTCATGCATTTAAAAAAAAAAAATTAAAAAGCAAATATTTTGCTGTGCTCACTTTGGCAGCACATACACTAAAATTGTAACCATGCAGAGATTAGCGTGGCCCCTGTGCAAGGATGACTCGCAAGTTCGTGAAACGTTCTGTATTTTTTAAAAATAGTGATTATAATAAGAAAAGGAGGGAGGGATGGAATGAAGGGAGGGAAGAGAAAGGGAAGGCTGAAAGGAAGGAAGGAAGGGGAAAAAGACAGTGAACTTGAGACTCGGTGAGGTTATAGTCTGTATATTCTTTAACTGGTTGAAGGCAGGTCAAGGTAAAGACTGATAATTAGCATATGTTTTAAAAATGTTAAAATTCAAACCTGTTTTTTACTAAAATCAATATAAATCCAATGAAACAAAAAGGCATGAGATATTTTTTAAAAAGCAAACATTTTATAAACTATAGAAAAGGAGAAAGAAGGAAAAATTTCACCTGTAATTTTACCACACAAAGGCACAATCACTACTGTCATATTGACATATAAATTTTTTTGTTTTTTTTGCCTCAGCATTTTATTTTGAAAAATTACAAACATACAGAAAAGTTGCGAAAACAATACAATCGACACTCATATAACCCTTACACAGATCCACCAGTTTTTAACATTTAGTCAGTTTGCTTTATCTTTTTATATATACGCTGAGTATGTGCACATTGAATATGTACGTATGTATGTATATTTTTTCCCCTGAACCTTCTGATGGTTAATGTCAGATATTACGACATTTCACCCTTAACTATTTCAGCAACTACTTCCTAAGAATGTGGATATTCTCCCACATAATCAAAATACAACCAGGACATTCAAGAAATTTAACATTAATATAATCCTATTAACTAACGTTTAGTCCATGTTAACTTCCTTTAGTCTTTTGAATGTTTATTTTTAAATGTATACAGTTGTGATCAAATTTATATAATTTATATGCTAATATGGGCACAGGATTGACATGACGCTGCCTGAGAATTTGACTTTTGGTTAACTGCTTTACTGTTTTCCTGTAAACAGATGAAGGTGTTATGTATCAAAATACTACTAGGTAACATTACTTATGGGGAAAATGACCTCTAACTGGTAAATTGCATCTAGACAGAAAGAAATGATAATGAGCTATAAATACTCGATGGCATATCATACTTGATACTTCCTTGAGTGGGGAAACTTTTATAACTGGGCATGCCCCCCATAGAGACCCTAGAAGGCATGCCGTGGAGTTATTACGAGCTTTTAAGTCAGGGTGCTCCCACATTTTTGAGCTGTCTGTTCATGACTGATATTGTAACTCTTCTTGAAGAGGAGTGCTTGGTGCCACCCTGTTGGCAAGCTGTGTGAATAGATGGTGCCAAACCTGTGGCTTATTGTCTTGTGAGGCTGACTGTTCAGCTGAACCAAAGAAGACCTCCCCATGGGCACTGCAAGCCTGACTTGTTTTTGTTAACATTACACCCTAATTATTTCACTTATTTTTTCATTGAAAGTATCATTGAGATAATTATATATTCACATGGAGTTGTAAGAAATAATACAGTACACTTTATCCAGCTTCTCCCAGTGGTGACATCGCAAAACTATCAGAACCAGGGTGTTGACACTGATACAGTCCACTGATCTCATTTAGATTTCCTGTATACACATGTATATGTTTATTTATAGTAACTTTTATACAATTTTATCACCTAAGTTGGAATATCCACCACCACACTCAAGATACTGAACAGTTCCAACACCACAAGGATCTCTTGCATTGCCCTTTTATAACCAACTTACGTTACTTTTTTAAACTCTCCATAAGCATTTTCAGTGGCTGCAATATATTCATTCACATAGATATGATTAACTGTTTCTCTGTTAAGATGGACAATTAGATTATGTATAGTTACTTAGTATTTAACCCTGCAGTGAACATCTGTGCACAAAACTTTTTTCTTTATTTTAGGTTATTTCCTAAAGATAGGTTCTTAAAATGGGATTACTGTGTCAGAGGATGTGAACAGTTTTAAGATTCATTGCACGGTACCAAGTTGCTTTCCAAAAGTTTTATAAGTAAAAAAAGTTTAATCTCTAGCCTTCTTGATATCATTATGCTGTCAATATTCATTACATAGAAAAATGCCCTTCACTGTCAGGTTCCCTCTCTCCTATTAACTAACGTTTAATAGGAGAGAGCATGTTGAAAAGACTGCCTAAATATAGTTATTGATTTGTTCATTCATTCAACAAGCTCTTACTGAGCACCTCTTACGTGCTAGGCACGGTGCTAGACATTAGAAATAATATAGTCGGTAAGAGCTCAAAATCAGCTAAGTTAAATGAGGAATTCCTTGGAAGAGAGTCCTCTGGGGAAATAGCTGGTAGCAAACTCAACCTAACTCAGATTCCTACTGGAAAGAGAAGGGACTGGGGAAACCGGTAACCTGGGAGTATACACCCTATCTGAAGGAGGCCACAGTGGCCGCTTAGTGCCAGCCGATTGTAGTTGTGGTGGAGTTTGGGCCCGGGTTGCCAGATCTTTTGATTTTTCAAGAGAAGCTAGAAATCCTGGCTTTTAAAAACACTGTGAGCATAAAACATGATTGTGGGTTACTTCCAGTCAGTGGTCTGCCACTTGGCAGTCTCCAGTAGTCTCTGGTTTCCTGTAGGTGGATTTAGGGGACTGTTGGGAATGCTCAAAGGAGAGGCAGAACACCCTCCAGAAAGTGGGCTGCCCCACGCATTTGGGAGAGGGACAGAGTGGCAGGGTGAGGGGCCCTGAGTTGTTCCTCAGACTGTATATCCTTTCCCATACATATCACCTTATGTGTGGGTGAGTTTATTCTGTCATACGATGTTCAGTCAGTCCCAAAGGGCATCAGGGGACTGGGAGGACATTTGATCCTGTTCTTACCTGTGTAGGACCACACCTAAACCTGCACCTTGGGTTCTTATCCACTTTCTGCAAGTAGGTCACTTAGCAGCTCCTGACCTCTGGTAAAAGTGCTGCTGGTATGTGACAGGCGTGGTATGGAAGGCATCCTTGGCATTGCATCAGGTCTGCCCATTGGTTACATTCAGAGTGTGAGCTAGCAATTATGCCATGAGAGCTAGAGCATAAAACCTGCCGTGAACATATTCACCTGTGTGAGCATGGAGACCAGGTGGTGAACTCTCTGCTCTTAACCTCGGGTCTGGGGCCGTCCTTCCTCTGCAGCCAAGAGGGCTGACCCAGAGCCAAAGAAAGAGCTCTGGGCCTGACAGGCAGTGCGGGAAGTGACGTTTGCCTAGGGGCAAGGGTGGGGACAGAGAGCAACTTAAAAATTTGCAGTCCTTTCTTCTAAATTTGTTTTTTTTAATCTGCGTTCTCATGGCTTCTCCAACTTTTCTTGCCACCCTTTCTGAGATGAAAAAACTGTCTCAAATCAGCTCACTTCATTTTTTTTTTACAGCAGTGTTTACTTTACAAGTGCCCAGTGATAAATCCTTTTATCTCTTTCAGGGCAATTTTTTCCGTGTTGGACCTAATGAAAGTGGATATGGCAAACTTTGCTGTCAGTAGCATTAGGCCACATCTCATGCAGCAGTCAGTTGAATATGAAAGGAAGCAGTTTCAAGAGTTTTTGGAGAAGCATCCAAGTATGTTTAATGTTTTGTGGTGCCTGTTCGTTGTCTGTGCTTTTTCATTTTAGTGGCTGTAGCTTGCCGCATAATGATATTTTCAAAACAAAATGAGAATTTAGTATGAGAGTGAAACTGTGCACCTCAGATTGGGACTTGAACCCACGTGCTGGGACTCAAACCCAGCCAAAACCCACGGTCTTCCAACTGAGATCACACACTTGGTTTCAGGACTTAATGAAGCTCAGGTTCGTGATATCTCATCGAAGAAAGAATTCAGTGAGAGACAAAGTGATGGGTAAGAAGTGGATTTATTTAGAGAGAAACACACTCCACAGACAGAGTGTGAGCCATTTCAGAAGGTGAGAAAGGCACCAGGCTATGGGGTTGTCAGTTTTTATAGAGGTGGGTAATTTATAGGCTAATGAGTGGGAGGAGTATTCCTGCTATTTCAGGAAGGGGTGGTGATTTCCAGGAATTGGGCCACCGCCCACTTTTTGATCCTTATGGTGGGCCTGGGAACTGTCATGGCGCCTGTGGGTGTATCATTTCGCTTGCTGATGTGTTACAGTGAGCCTATACTGAGGCTCCAGGTCTAGTGGAAATTGACTTGTCCGCCATCTTGGACCCATTTGGTTCTAATCAGTTTATGTCATGTCCTCGGGCTATATCATTCTTTCAAAGGTTGTGCCCTGCCCCCTTCCCTCCTGTTTCAGGAGTAGTCTAATTTGAAGACGGAAAAGGACAAGATGTTAGGCCCTGAGAACTTAGTTGACAAGCAAGAGAACTGTAAGTAGGAGAGGAGAATAGAAATTTAAAAAAACAAAGAAGCCCTAAATTAAATGGGTTTTTATGAAAACACCAGTTTGAGGTGAATTGTATACTTGGCCTTGGTTTTAAGAACATGATGAACTTCTTAGGACTATTTAGCTCACTTTTCTCCCCTCTATGAGGTACGTCAAGAAATTTCACTTTGCTTCTCTTCTATATGCATAAATCTGGTTTCGTACCCAGAAAAAGTCTCATTTTTATGAACCTCTCAGATGACTCCAGGAAACAGATAAATTAAAATCCAAACTATGTTTCATTTCTAGGGTGCTTTTTTGGTCTCTGCACTGGCAGCTGATGTTCTAAGTGAACTGCAGCCTTCAGTTCCAATTTATTACGAGTTCCGTTTAGCCTCTAAGTTTGCGGGTCACAAGATGAAAATGGCAGTCTCTGGATAGGTTGTGTTGCCTGACCAGGATCAGGTCAACAGTTGCTCATCCAGCTCCAGGCAGAGAAGTTGGAACTGGTCCTGAGGGCCAGGAGGAGTCAAGAAAGGGCAGAGTTGAAGGAGCAGTACTAGAAGATTGGTTAGTGTTTACTGTGTACTAGGCTTGTGCCAAGGGTGTACCTGTGTTGCCATAGGTGACCTCACAGTAAGCCTACGAGGTAGGCAGTATTTTTTAAACCAATTTTACAGATGTGGTAATAGATTTTGAGAGGTTTTTTAAAAAATTTTGGCTGTGCCAGGCGGCATGCGGGATCTTAGTTCCCTGACCAGGGATCGAACCTGTGCCCCCTGCATTGGGAGCTCAGAGTCTTAACCACTGGACCGCCAGGGAAGTCCCCAGATTTTGAGAGATTTTTGATCAGAATTGATGACCACACAGCTCCCTTTCTCAACCGGTATTTTACTGCCCCTCAGGAGAAACCAGGGTTGCAGTTTACAGGCTGTGAAGAGCCTTTGTATGAGGGCCAGGTGCGGACAGCTGGGGCCCAGGCGCTGAGCCGGTCCGAGTCTAGTGCTTATCACTCACAGCATGAAAGCCGAGGTTTTCCAGAGCTGGTTGCCTACAGAATGCTGTCTGCAGAGGCGAAAGGGAGAGCGAAGCTCGGAACCAAGAGCTCGGTGTGATCAGCATGTGGGCAGAACCAGAGGAGTGTCCTGTTGCAGCAGTGAAGAGTGGACTCCACCCATGCCCTCGGCTGCCCATTTTGTTTTAAGGTGGCCTCCACTGGCCGGGCTGCAACCTATTCCAGGTCCTGTCAGAGGGGTGTTTGCTCATACAATGTGGACAAAAACCTCATCTTCTCTCTCTTGTGTCCCTCAGAGTCCCTGGTGCATTATTCAGTTTAGAAAAGTAGGGGAAGCATGCTGGCGGATGAAAAACAACTGAGGTTCCCCCCACCCGCCCCGCAGTGCTCCAAACACTGCACAGTATGTGTCAAATACGTGACAGAACTTACCCCCCACCCCTACCCCAGCAAGGCTGAAAGTAAACCAGATTGATACAAGACTAAGATCTAGACAAGGACAAGCCTCATCTTCAGTGTGGAGGATACTTTACACTGGGAAACTCTAGTCAGTGTCTCATCCCATCTGTCTATGGGCAAGAATTTTTGCATCTCACTGAGCTGGAGCTATCAGAGCTTCCAGCCACGTATCATGCAGGAGTGGCCAGGGTGGGAGAGAAGAGAGTGGAGGTCTTTTGAACATCTAAGGTGGCATTTATATCCACTGTTGTGCTTAGTCCTCACGGCAGCCTGTGAGGTGGTGGTGGACATTTCTTTGTGTAAGAATCTTGATAGTCAGACAATGGCGTATCTAAGAACACTCAACTGGTAACTGGCAATCTTGTGATGTGAACTGAGGTCTATTTGATTCCAAAGTCCGTGCTCTATACTTTTACCACAGTTCCAGGATGATCTTCCCTAAAGTAATTCTGGGAAGAATCCGTCCAGAGCGTTCCAGTAATGTTCGAAGCCTTGCTTTTCACAGATTCCCTGGACTTTGTCACCCAGTGGCTGGAAGAAGCCGCAGATGACCTTATGAATCAGAAGTATAGAAATGCCCTGCCGGCTGTGGGAGAGGCCTCTGGCTCTGGGGACAGTCCCAGGCCAGATCCTGTTGCTGTCCAGAATTATGCGTACCTGAAGCTTCTGAAGTGGGACCACCTCCACAGACCTTTCCCTGAAGTAGGTGCTCCAGAGCAGTCTGACTGCTCATTTCTTTTTTGTGCTGCTGAACTTTAAAAAAAATAATGGCTATAATTCACATAGCAGAAAAATCTCCCTTATAAGTTGTATAATTCACTGGTATTTAGTACATTCACAGAGTTACGCTTCCATTACCACTGTTTAATTTCAGAACATTTCCGTCACCCAGAAAGAAGCCCTGTACCCATTAGCAGTCACAACCCTCCCCCCACCCCCTGGCAACCATTAATCTTCTTTGTGTCTCTATGGATCTGGCCTATTCTGGACTTTTCGTTTAAACGGAATCAGGCAATGTTGGCTATTTGTGTCTGGCTTCTTAGCATAAAGTCCATCCGTGTTGTAGCATAAATCAGTACTTCATTCTTTTTAAGTTTTTTTTTATTGTGTTAAAATATACACAACATAAAATGTACCATTTTTAAGTGTACAGTTTAGTGGCACTAAGTACGTTCACATGACTTTGCAGCCATCACAGCCACCCATTCATGGAACAAATTGGAACCCAGTACCCTTTAAACACTAACTCCTCATTCCTCCCTTCCCCGGTTCCTCTGTGTTCTTGAATCTGACTACTTTAGCTACCTCATATGAGTGAAATCACACAGTATTTGTCCTTTTGTGACTTGCTTATTTCACTTAGTATAATACCTTCGAGGTTCATCCACAATGTTGTTTGTGGCAGCATTTCTTTTCAAGGCTGAAAAATATTCCATTGTGTGGCTATACCCCATTTTGCTTTATTCATTCATCAGTTGATGGACAACTGATGGGCAACTTTTGGGCTATTGTGAATTGTGCTGCTCTGAATATTTGTGTACAAGTTTTTGTGTGGCCATGTGTTCTCAGTTCTCTTGAGTATGTACCTAGGATTAGAATTGCTGGGTCACGTGGTGACTCTTAAGTTTAACATTCTGAGGAACTGCCAGACTATTTTCCAAAGCGCCTACCTCATTTTACAGTCCCACCAGCAGTGTATGGGGCTTCTAATTTGTGCTGCTGAGCTTCTGTCCTGTTTTTACTCATCTTGATGAAAACCCAAACAGTGACGGTGCTTTTCAGTTTTATCTAAAGAAACTTCTTCCCCTTCCATGCAGAGCAATATATATTTTTTTAAATTTATTTATTTATTTTTGGCTGCATCGTGTCTTTGTTGCTGCGCATGGGCTTTCTCTAGCTGTGGCTCGTGCGCTGTAGGCACGCGGGCTTCAGTAGTTGTGGCGCACGGGCTTCGTTGCTCCGCAGCATGTGGGATCTTCCCGGACCAGGGCTTGAACCCGTGTCCCCTGCATTGGCAGGCGGATTCCTAACCACTGCGCCACCAGGGAAGCCCAGAGCAATATTTTTTTTCTTTGTATGTTTTTCGCAGTAAGTGCTTCTAACTGCAGGAGTCCTTTAAAGACATGACTAACAGGGGAGTCCCCCAGCAAATAGCTGGTTTGGCGTCTAGACTCCCCCTCTTTTTTGAGGGCACTCACACTTCTTATTTCTAGCCTCATATCCTGCTACTTCTCGAAGTTTCTTTCTCAGTTCCTTATTTTTCTTTTTAAGATGTTGTGAGCCTAAAGTTTCACCTCTTGCTTTGTGAGTTCCCTGTTTTGTGCCAGAGCAGGCTCTCAAGGGGATATTGAAGTGGGGGTGGGGAGCTTCCTTCCTGCAGAGTGACATGCTCTCTGCTCTCTCCTGTAGACTTTTCTCTCAAAAGATAGCCGTGGGGAAAATGGTGTTTTCACTGGGGACAGATGTCTACTCTCAGAATTGATCCTTGGAAATCCTTTGCGTCCTAAACCCAAGTACGGCATACTGCTAGGAGGCCACAAAGCAAGGGTGCTGCCCTGTAACAAAGTGAAGTCAAAAAAGAGACTGGTAAAGCCTCTCTGTTTAACAATAGAGGAGTCTCAGCCTTCAAAGATGGTTTTTACTTCTTAGGGAGAATTCTGGGCTAAGACTCCACATTGTTAATGTCTCGATTTGGTGTGTCAGTTTCTTATAGCAAGACTGGTCCTTAAAGTTTATTTGATTCATCTGTAAAAACTCAGATCAGAAGTCATATCTCCTCAGCCTTTCCACTTCCCTTTACCTCACCCCACACAGAGGACTTTGGCCTGGCAGCACCCAGGCCTGTCAATAACACGGGGACGCCGTCATGGAAATTCACTCACTGACTACTTTCCAGGTATTATCTGTCATTCCAACTTTTTCTACTTATCGTTCATTTTTCTCTTTCTTTATTCACTTCCCAGTTCTTGAGAGCCTCCTTTGTGCTGGATACTGAGGGGGATACTGAGGTGAATAAGTGTATTTCTCCCCTCCTTCCCTCCTGTGTCCTGGATAGGGTGGCTGGTTGTCTGGTTTACCCAGGACTGGGAATGGGTGTGGGGAGGGGAAGTGTTCACAGGACCTGGGAGTTTCAGTTTTAAACCAGGCCACTCCTGGAAAAACTGGGATGAGTTGGCCCCCTGTGTACCTCATTATTCTGTCCCATCTAATGATGTAATTCCTATTTATTGAGTGCTGGCTCTGCCAGCCACTTTATTATTATCTTTCTTTTTTTAATACATTTATTTATTTATTTTTGGCTGCATTGGGTCTTCACTGCTGTGCGTGCGCTTTCTCTAGTTGCAGTGAGCAGGGGCTACTCTTCGTTGTGGTGCGCGGGCTTCTCACTGCGGTGGCTTCTCTTGTTGCGGAGCACGGGCTCTAGGCACGTGGGCTTCGGTAGATGCTGTGCGTGGGCTCAGTAGTTGTGGCTTGTGGGCTTAGTTGCTCTGCGGCCTGAGGGATCTTCCTGGACCAGGGATCGAACCCGTGTCCCCGGCATTGGCAGGCAGATCCTCAACCACTGCGCCACCAGGGAAGTCCCAGCCACTTTATATACATGGTCTCTTTTCATCTTTCTTTCTTTCTTTTTAATTTTTATTGGAATATAATTGATTTACAGTGTTGTGTTACTTTCTGCTGTACAGCAAAGTGAATCAGTTATACATATATCCACTCTTTTTTAGATTCTTTTCCCATATAGGTCATTACAGAGTATTGAGTAGCATTCCCTGTGCTATACAGTAGGTCCTTAATAGTTATCTATTTTATATATAGTAGAGTGTATATTGTCAATCCCAGTCTCCCAACTTATCCCTCTCCCCTTTTTTCGTCTTTAAAACAGCACTGTGAAGGAGGAATCCCCATTTTGCCTAGGGCTCAGAGTTGAAGAAACCCGCGTGAGGTTGTGCTGCTATTAAATGATGAAGTCTGGATTTACACCCAGTCTGGCTTACGTTGTACTGCAGCCTTCCTGAGGGAGAGGGGCGCTGCGGTGGAAGAATTCACACCTGACTCCCTTATGGCCGGCTCTGAAAGGACTAGAAAATCCTCAGGGGAACTTCAGAGGCCTCCGTATGGGCTGCGGCCCCACTGCCCTCTGCCGGTGACAGCCCAGCCCTGCAGCTCAGGATGATTTCTGTTTTATTCATTGCAGACAGTTTTGATGGACCATTCTCGCTTCCAAGAGTTCCAGCTCCAGCTGGAGCAGCTGACCGTCCTGGGGGCCGTGTTGCTGGTCACGTTCAGCATGGCAGCCCCAGGAATTTCCAGCCGGGCCGACTTTGCTGAGAAACTCAAGATGATCGTGAAGATTCTGCTCACAGATATGCATCTACCGTAAGTGATGGAGAGCTCTGGCGACCAGGGCCTTCAACAGATGGTGGGAGGCAGCGGGTGGCGAGGAGCAGACTGGAGCGGGGGTCTGCGGTGTAAGGCAGAATTGGGGCCGCTCGCCAGAGACTGAGGAAACCTGGCACTCCAGCGTTCTTCACCCCCGCGGGATTTACTCAGGGTCACACGGTCAAAGTTAGAGTCCACTCCAGGGCTGATTAGCAAGGCTCTAGGACAGTGGCTTTCAAATGTTTGTGACCAGGACGCATAGTAAGAAATTCATCTTCCGTGGTGACAGTGCATACTTGGACACACATGTAACTGCAATAAAAACTTCACAAAGTGAAACTTACCCAACTGTGCTTAACACTTCCTGATATTTCTATTCTATTCTTGTCCCATTAAAAAGAAAAAAAATACTGGTTGCTACCCAGTGAATTGCTTTCATAATCAACTAATAGTTTGGTCAACACAGCCCTAGGGAAAGGTCAAATAAGAAACAAGCTGCGTTCCTCCAGAGTGTGTGAATGTGACTAAAGTTTTCCGCCCATTGCGGAAAACACTCCTCATAGACATTTTGTGCTGAGTGTAAATGGATTATCTATCAACCAGCACCAGTCCACACTTGTGTGAGGGCAACTGCTTCTGCAGTGAAATCAGATTAGGTGATTTATGTGGTTCCCAGCATATAGAATATTTTTGAATGTTTCTAAGTAAACCTGTATCTGACAAGGTCCACCTCAGAGGATTCTTCAAGTGGGATGTCCCCAAACCTTCTCCTCCTCCTTACAAAGTAGAGGAATTGGCTGCTGAGTTTGCACACAGCTTGCATGTGTTCAGTGCGATGAGGGGCGTGTCCACGAGTTGTGACCTGGGGCTCAACAGTCTTGACTCAGGCCTGCAGGGTGTCTGCTGAGGCAAGGCCTCGCCTGAGGCCCTTGCACAGGTGTAGCCCTGGGCTGTCACCTAGGTCCCCCTCCAGTAAAACTGCTCTGTCAAAGCTACTGAGGAGGAGGGCCTGTCCATGCTTCCTTGGGAGGCCGGCCCTGCCTTGTCCACCCTGGCCCCAGCAGCAAGTCCTGGGGCTCTCACATTTGCTCACACTCATTCTACTGTACACAGCCTGTAGATCCAGGACAAAGGCAATTGCCTTCTCAGACAACACCCACCAGCACAAGGGCTCTCCACAGAGACTCCAGGGGAGCCCAGGAGCACCAGGAAATCAAAGTGTGAATTTTAACTTTTAGATGTCAGTTTTATTTGTTCTTTGAAAGTCGTTAAAACACTGTGTTTCAAAAGCCTAAAGGGACAAAGTGGTATCCAATGAAAAGTTTCTCTCCCACTCCGTCCCGCGGCTGCCACATTTCTGGTTTCTGGTGTGTTGCTCCAGAGGTGTCCAAGGTAGTCCTAAGTCAATTCCAGGGTTATTTCACCACACAGATGCTAGCAAGAAGTTAGCTTTTAGATTGTTAGACCAGGCATAACCTGAGTCCTCCCCGTGCCACTGTTCTTTCTGGCAGAGAGAGACGGGTAGAGAGACAAAGTCCCCTGAGTTGGATGGACGCAGTCTGAGGGGCTCGGGGCAGGGAAGAGGCACAGTTTTCCCTTTGAACCCATCAGTCTGTGAATTGGTCGCTGTGACTCTCCCCAAACGGGGGCTGGGCGGGGGTGGGGGTGGGATGTGCACTTTGTTGATGGGCCCTTTCTTCACTGGCTTCTCCTTCCCTTCTCTGCTCAAGCTCCTTCCATCTGGAGGATGCCCTGACTACCGTTGGGGAGAAAGTCTGCCTGGAGGTGAGCAGCTGCCTTTCCCTGTGCGGGTTCAGCCCCCTCACCACGGACAAGGAGGCCGTGCTCAAGGGCCAGATCCAGGCCATGGCCAGTCCTGACAACCCCATCCGCAGGATCGTGGGTACGTTTGGGCGAAGGCGGGACCAGGGATATGCCTGCGATGGGCTGGCAGACAGGCCCCTCTGCGGGCATCTAGAAGGGTTTGATGGATTACGAGTGCCAGTGAGTGAAGAGAGAGTGATTATTCACCATAGCGCAATTAAGGCGACCCGAAGCTTTGGCCAAGTGACTAGGCAGCCATCACTGTCCTGAGGGCTCTGGCTTTGGAATCACGGGTCCTGGTTCAGAACCCTGCTCCATCCAGCACTGTGAGGTGGTGGGAAACAATATATTGGTGTCTGCCCCTGGCCCCTGGCACAGAGCTCCTGAAACTCTGGTAGTTTCCTCAGTGATAAGAGCGCTAGGAGCATCTTTTGTTCTAGTGTTTGGTCTCTGACCTTGGCTCCTGACCCGGAACTCCTACCTCCTTTGGAATTTCCTGGGTGCTGGGAGTGTCTTGCGTTCTGAGTAGGTGACTCTTGATGGGCTCCTGGGTGGGGGCCGGTCACCCGAAAGACCAAGCCATGATTAGAAGCTTGGAACTTTCAGCCCCGCCCTCCATCCTCCAGAGAGAGGAGAGGGGCTAGAAATGCCTGCGTGATGAAACCTTCACAGAAGTCCCAAAAGTACAAGGTTTGGAGAGCTTCTGGGTTGCTGAACACATCCGTGTAGTGGACGGGTGGTGCACCCCAGCTCCGCGGGAACAGAAGCTCTTGCCCTCTGGACTCTCCCCGACCTCACCCTATGTATGGCTTCTTCCGACTCTTCATTTGTATCCTTTATCAGATCTTTTATTATATAATAAACTGGTAAACCTAAGTAAGTGTTTCCCTGAGTTCTGTGAGCTATTCTAGCAAATCATCAAAATCCAAGGGAGAGGACGTCATGGCAACCTCTGATTTGTAGTCAAGTCAGAAGTTGTGGATGACCTGCGGGCCTCCTCCTTGTGATCAGCTTCTGAAGTCGGGGGCAGTCTTGTGGGCCTGAGCCCTTAACTTGTGGGATCTGAGGCTATCTGCACGTAGTGTCAGAACTGAGTAAAATTGTAGGATGCCCAGCTGGGGTCACAGAGAATTGCTTGGCGTGGGGACACTTCTCCCCTGGATCTGGAGTCAGAAGCGTTTTGAATGTGGTAGTGGTGCGAGGGTAAGGGAAAAGTATAGCTGTAGTACAAGGCTAGGACGGGTTTTCTTTACAAGCACTTACTGTGTAGCCTGAGCAAGTGACGTGATACTTGAGTTTCATCATCTCTAAAAGGGGGTAATACCAGCACCTGCAGGGTTGCTGAGAGGACTGCAGGTGGTAAGATATGTAAGGTGCTTACTGCAGAACCTGGCAGCATAGGGAGGACTCACTAACGAGTCGCAGTTATTAAAAATATTACTCCGGACTTCCCTGGTGGTCCAGTGGTTAAGACTCTGCACTTCCAGTGCAGGGGGCATATATATATATATATATATATATATTACTCTGCTGTGTGAGCTGTGACTTTCCATCATCCCTGGTTGATTCTGTTCACTACATCATCTAATATTTAATTTTTAAAATTATTGTCATTTAATTAATTGTAAAGTCCTTCCTTAACTTCTTTACGAACTCATATAGATGTTCATCTTATAAATAATGAAAAGTTAGCAGGCTTCAGGCAAAAGCAGAATGATCTGTGGTTATCAGATTCTAGGTTGGAGTAGAGGCTGAACCAGTGACATGGGTGTGCTTCTAATACCATGCCTTTTTAAAATTTCATCCCAGGCCCGCATTAGTCACAGTTTCATCTGCAGGTCCCTCAGGAGGAGCCTCCTGATGCTGCAGGGCCCTCGGACTGTCGAGATCATTGTTGTCAACTGGGGTGGGGATGCGGGGAAGTGCTGTGAAGAGACCACTGGCTACTAAGCTGCTGCCTTAGCCCTGTCATCTAGGTTGTTTAGTCACAGCCAGTTAAGTGTGTTACTGGACTCCAAAGGATGTAAGTCAGTTGCACCTGAGAAGGTTCCCTAGGGCATGAGGTGGGTGTGAAGTTTGAAAACGCTTATTTGATATAGATGCCGCTATTGCTTTTGTAATAAAATCTGCAAGGTGCGGCTTTGCACACACACTGTTTTGGCAGCTGAGGATACACAGGAATGTGCAAAAATATCATAGCAGGGGATGGGCTAAAGAAGCGTCAAACTAAATGATTCCTCAGAGTAGGACAAGTGGCCCACAACTCCATGGCCTTCATTGCAGGCTTTGGAGAAGGAGGCTTAGGCTTCTTTCATGTGGGCTTATGGGAAAATCTAGATCACAAGCCAATAGTGCTGGAGTCTTCTTTTTTTAAAATAAATGTATTTATTTATTTATTTTTGGCTGCGTTGGGTCTTCGTTGTTGCGCACGGGCTTTCTTTCTCTAGTTGCGGCGAGTGGGGGCTACTCTTCGTTGTGGTGTGTGGGCTTCTCCTTGTGGTGGCTTCTCTTGTTGGGGAGCACGGGCTCTAGGCGCGCGGGCTTCAGTAGTTGTGGCTCGCGGGCTTAGTTGCTCCGTGGCATGTGGGATCTTCCCGGACCGGGGCTCGAACCTGTGTCCCCTGCATTGGCAGGCGGATTCTTAACCACTGTGCCACCAGGGAAGTCCCTTTCTCTTCTCTTTTGAACTTGCATTTCCTGCTTTATTTTTCCTCCCACTTTTTATATGATCTTAAACAATGGCTAATGTTGGTCTCGGTGTGCCTTGCTCTTCTGAGAGCGGAACCTGGCAGCACCCTAATCTCCCCTTAATCGTTCATACATTTATCCTTGCTTTCCAAGTGTATTTTGGGCTTTGCCTGGTGTCCAGGCCTCATGGCAGGCACCGTGCTGGGTGTTGGGGAGAGAATGATGAACAAGATGAGCATGGTCCCACCCCGTGGAGCCGACCAGCTTTGGGGTGGGCGGGGGGTACAGTACAGATGGGATGAATGTTCAGAAGTGGGAGGTGCCTCAGGATGGTCAGGGAAGACTTTCCCGAAAAGGTAATGTTTAAGCTGAAAACTGAAGCGTAAATAGAAACTTGTAAAGTCACCCTGACCAAGAAGCAAACAACTGCTTTCTTTTCTGTCGCAGATTCCCGAATCCTGACCTTCTTAGAAACCTACCTTGTCTCCAGTCATCAGAAGCCATTGCCCACAGCCCCAGGGGGATTAGGTCCAGTTCAAACAGAGCTGGAGGAAGTTGCCATTAACTTCGTGCGCCTGGTCAACTATAACAAGATGGTCTTCAGTCCCTACTATGATGCGATCCTCAGTAAGATCCTTGTCAGACCCTAACGCCTGTGCTCCCTACAGCAGCAGTGTTACCCACTTGACCTGTTCTCAGCTGTAGTGTTGCTTTGGAAAATGGCTGCTTAGTACCTTTCTGTTTAACAGCACTGATGCCAAAAGGAAGAGTATTGTGTATCACTGTTGAAAAGGCTTGTTGAAACATGTACTGAATTCTGTTTTGAGGGTTTGTGTCCGTGAGTGCAAGTTTACAAATCAGAGAAGCTTTTCGTTATCGTGACTTTTGTAGGTAGCACTCAGCTTTCAACGGGTGGACTGCCGTGTGTCTCCACCCACACCCTATCATGATCGTAGCTGCCTCGTCTCTCCCAGGAGCCTGGGACCTCTTCTGCCATCTGGCTCGCTTTTCTTTCAGACACCCAAGAGTATCTGACAGCCACCCCAGAGTGAACAGAACCAGGCCTTGATGCGTTTAGACCCTTGCCCGTCTCTTGCCCAGCCCAGCCCTCCTTCCTCCAGGTATTTTGTGTTGGAAGGACTTTATATAGTCTTACTGCCTCCACACACCTCCCGCGCCCACTATTTATTGCTTTCTCCCTGCCTGGGCTAGCTGGAGCCCCAGAACCCTTTTGTTCTAGAGGAGAGTTATTTGATTTTAAAAAGCTTACTTGTTTATACAAAATTACTTCTGAGCCTGGATGATAGCAGTTATGGGATCTAGAGAAAGGAAAATTCTGTGACTTTTATGTCTTGAAAGCCAAGGAGGAATATTTTTTTTAATATATGTTAGTGTAATATATAGAAGAGGACAGATGTCTGAAGTTCTTACTGAAAAGTTCACTCTGATACAATACATAGATGTATTGATTGGATTCGAATTCCAGCATTGGATTTAAGTGTTTTCAGGTAAAATAGCGTCAGCTCACTTATTTCTTGGATAACGAAGTTATAGGAGATCCCTGGCTTTTGAGCAGTATTTATTGAGGAACTTCAGTGACCAGAATTCCTGACATATCCTGTGACTGAAAGGGTAGCTTGGCTCTCACAGGTGACCTGTTCTGTTAAAAAAAATAAAATGTGCGCACGTGCCTGTGTGTATTTTAGACAGGGACATTTTGTTAGAAACAGAGTCATGAAGTTGTTGGGCGATCTCCAGTTCCCAGAATCATGCAAGGAATCCCTTCATTCAAGCCGATGAGCGCTGGGGTGGAGCTGGGGACAGCGTTGGGGAAACATCCACCCTGTACACTGTCTAGTGATGCGAGGCTTCAGAGGAGTGACGGTTATACTGGGAATGTGATTTCTCCAAGTACTTGCTTCTAATATTTTTACTTGCAGTCAGAGATGTATGCTGGGTTACGTGGTCAGAGGTCATATTAATAAAGTTTAGGCTGAAGGACAAATCCTCCAAGGTTTCACTGGAAGGGGATGAAAGCTCGGTAAGTAGAACTTTTAAAGAACAAAATTACATCTTTTGTAGCTTATTCAATGAGGTCACCTCTGGAATTGTTTCTGGAAATAAGGCTGCTGTGGAAGCTGTGCTCACTGGTTGTAGAGTATGAGGTTCCTGGGGGCAGCACTCTTGCTTGCCTCAGCCTCAGTGTTTGGGTCCCTCCCTCCACAGCCAAGGATGCCGGAGAGGAGCGTTACCCTCACAGATGCAGGGTGGGTCACCAGCTCCTGCAGCCATTTTCCCTAAATCTCAAAGTTCCTTCATTTTGATTTCTTTTGTAAGAGTTAACTCTTAGGTGATTTTTTTCTCTCTTTTCCCTCATGGGTTCCTACATAGAGTGAAGTTTGAACAGTTTGAAATCTTGATGCCTATATAACAGGGAGCTTCACAGACTCCTGTGGCCCCCACTACCTCAGTGTCCACTGGTGGAATTCTACAGAAGCCAGAATGAAGACGGCAGAGTTCAGAATCACAATATTCATATTGAATCGTTTTGTTGCTGCTCTTTGAAGATAAGTGAGCTAGTTTTCTTCCTGGAATCTCATAGGATTATCACTAAGGGCCAGGAAAATTCATTTAGTTCATTTAGTCACTCAGGAAACATTTGCTAAGCATCTACTTAGAACTCCCCCCTACAGCTCTCCCTCCAAGACAGAAATAGCTTTGGCGTATAAATTATCCTTCAGAATTGAATTGGGTTATATACTGCATACTGATTGCATTTGATGTGGTTTCCTGCCTAACAGGTTTGTGGAAAACATGTCTCATGGAAGTGCTAAGTTTATTGGGCACTAGTATTTCACTGCAGGTGGGTGCCTTGAGAGTTGGGTTGATATCAGCAGGTCAGGTAGATTTCTTTGATAGTCTCCTGAATGAATGAATGAATGAATGAATGTCTAGAGCGGTAACTGCTGCCTTGTCAGCTCTCAACTGATTGGGTGGGTAGTGGGTGGGTTCTCACTCTACATATGTATATTTTTTAATCTTATTCTGAAGCAAGCTGTAAAATGTGATCGTTTATGTAGCCCTTTATAAATATACTTCAGGTCAGAGTTACACTGATATATCTTACTGATTAATGCAGTGGACAGGTGTATAGGAATTTTTTTCTCTGTGAAGAGAAGTTATTAAAAAGTTTGACTCAATAGGCACATAATGTGCACATACTGGCTGACAATTCTGAACGGATTATTTAGCAGTTCTGTTTTTGTGGCTTATTTTACTTTCTCCAAAGTCTTAAGATACCTGGGAATAGAGCAGCCTACTTTCCTGGTGAATTTCAAAGGGAGGGAATAGGTGTTTGCTGTTTGATTTCCAGTGACATTTTGGCATGCCCTGATTTCTGTGTATAACATTTGTATTTCTTTTAATTTTGAGGCAGGGTGGTAGATTGGAAAGACTGGGAGCTGTCAAGAAACCAGAGTTTTGATCCCATTTCTGTTACGTGATTAGCTCGAGGAAATCAGGACCCATTTCCAGTACCTAAAAAATGAAAGGACTGGATTTAACCTTACAAGCCTTTCCAAGTCTGACATTCTGTAGTAAGTCTGACTGGACTTAATAACTTAAGTAGACTGCAGTAGGATTGTGCAGAAAGTTCCTGATTTAGAGGAAGATCTGGGTTGAGTTTTTCCTCTGTTGCCTTCTTGCAAGGTTATGTGATGTTGGGCTAATCATTCTTCCTTGGGCTCTGTATTTTCACCTGTAAAATGAGCATACTCCTAACTCACACTTCCTGTGAGGATTAAATTTGATAATGGATATTAGAATGCTTTGTACACGCAAAAGGACTATGAATGACTTTATTAGCAACAAAGGAGAGCATATAACCCTGCCTGCGGGTGCATATCTGTTATCATGACATATTCGACTGTTGGTGCCCAACCTCCCTTCAGTCGAGCACATTTTACAGGCCTGTAGGGAAGGTTTTCCTCCTGTCCTGTCCCAAGACTGTTATTTTCTTTTCTCATCTCTTCTGTGCTAGAGCTGCAATCTTTTCGTATCTGCTGCCGTTCACTCCACCCCAGTGGTTTCTCCCCATTTCCACCTCTATATCATTTGAAGTAAATGAATGCATGAATGAACAAATGAGTGGATGACTAAATGGTAGTGGACGATGGGCTATGAAACTCATATTAAAAGGCACTATCTCATTGAAAACGTAATCTAAATAAAGAATTACAGTGATGTTTGCAATTGTGTATTTATATTGGGTTTTATATTGTATACCTATTTTAATGGATTGCCTTTTTATTCACAGTATTCAAAGCAACTTCATGGGATGGGGGAGGGGAAAACCTTTAGGCCTAAAAGCCTCTCTTAACCTATCAAATGTTCACTGACACTTTCAGAAAAAGCTAGAAGTGTCAGAAATCTGAACAGGCAGAATTTTACTTAAAACTGCCCCTAGTGTGGGTTTCTGTCATACTGTGTTGCCTTCTGAACTAATCTATAGGCATGATTTGATGGAATGTCACTTAATTTAGTAATCAGGTGTGTCTGGAGTTGGTAGCAATAGTCAGATTTCACCATTTTTGTGTTTGCTTTATCTGAACTAAGCATTGAGAACCTTTAAGTGCAACTTCTGACTTAAAAGCAACCTTAAAATCGAAGTAACACTTTTTTTTTTTCCTTTCTAATTCTTGTTGCCTCTGCTTTTTAAAGTACTGTCTGCTGTAAGCTCGAAGCAGAAATTTGGTCAGGGCTCAGACGGGGAAGAAAATTTAGTAAACTGAATTGGTTTTTTGGACTTTTATTCCCAGAGACTGGTAAGCTCACTTCTGTTGAATATTTAAGTTTTTACTTAAATCAGTAATATGGCACCTGAGTTTTGTTAACTTGGTATGAATTACCTTTCAAGACTTCTGAAATTTTTACTAAATGAAATATAACTTCACTTGCTGAACGTCACAGTCAAGTAAGAACTACCAACTTTAATGAAGTTTGCTTTGGGAACTGAAATGTAAAAACCAGAATTTATGAGAAGCCCACTCACCGCAACGAAGAGTAGCCCCCCGCTCGCCGCAACTAGAGAAAGCCCACGTGCAGCAACGAAGACCCAGCGCAGCCAAAAATAAATAAATAAATTTATTTTTTTAAAGAAAGCATATCCAATAGAGGATTATAAAATTACCAAATAAATTAATAACTATTGCCCAAGGTCAATGTGCTGACAAAAGTGGTATATTTTTTCATTCTTTTCCAGTGGTACAATTTGATCAGTTTTATATTTACTAGGTAGCTATAACCTTTTACTTTACTATGTGTGGCAACAGAGATAAAATCTCTCGTTCGAAATTTAGTGCTAAAAGCCAGAGTTTGACTGATTTTTGTTTAGGGAGCATTTATGGTCCTTAAATTTTATCCAGTTCTAGAATTGTGGGGAGATGCTGTCATTGTTTTTATAAAGAGGAAAGATATGGATATCTCTTGGTAATTTCTCTGGGTCCAGCAATATGGATATATGAGAGACCTTGGACACATAGGACTGGCTATATATACCATGAGAGTCTGCAGATAGATTTCCAAAAATAATTTCAGATTTCTAACATCATGCTACTTGTTCACTGTGTTTACAAAAGGAATTATCAAACATTCAGACAAAATCATACTAAAAACTAAAAGTTCATATATATATCAGGTAGAACATTAGAAAATATTTTCTTAAGAAATAATCCTTTTTAAGTTTAAAGGTCATATAATTTCTAGGGGAAAAAGTCTTAGAAATGAATGTAGTAGGAGCAGTTGTAATACACATAATGGCCTTAACAGTCCTTAGCAGCACTTTTCCCCAAGGTAGGTAAGGGTGTACGTGTGTGTTTTCTTATTACAATGCTAAAAAAAAAAAAAAAAAAAGGCATTTTCCATACTCAATCACGTGGCTTTCTTTTGTCACATGGGAACACTGTTACAGACCATTACAGGTATTTGAAACCATTTTGTCTTCTTCAATACACTACCCAAAGATAGCACTTCAGGAAAGATTCCATATCTCTATATTTTTAAGTTTATGCTATATGGTACTACTTATGCCTTTCAGATTGTTTTGTTGATAACCATGATATTAAAAAAAAACCCACGCAGCTTGAAAATGATACTTAGGAAGATAACAAAATCTGAAGTAGAGGCAGCTGACTTTGTTTTGAGGAAATTTTTCTCAGCTTCACTGGTAAAATACTGGAGACATATGCTTGTGATCAACTTAGGTAAATATGACCTTGCTACGTATAAATTTATATAAGAAAGTGATTCAAGATAACCTTTTATTATAGGTTTTATAGAAATATTTGAAGCTGATATTTAATCACACTTGAATTCAAATTCTAAATTGTGTACCCATCGTGCAAAGATTGTCTCTTTATAGCCTTCGTACTTTTCCTCTTATTTCCTTCCTTATTTTTTTAGCTTTTATTCTGAATCACAATCCTTAGGCTCAACTAGTTGTTGGTCTAGTTTTCTAGAGATGAGTCAAGAGGAGGTAACGTTGCTAAAAAAGAGCAAAACTTAATTCTTTTAATTTTTATGGTAAGTTTTTGCTCACTGTAGCTAGGTTTTGGTTACTCGGCTGTAGTTTCCTTTAATGCTGTCTTTGTTTAGCTGATGAAAAAAATGTTCTTGAATACTGACCACTTTTTGAAACATATTTATGTGAGAGCAAGACAGTGAGTGGTTAAAGGAATTCCCACACTTATGTTGCTTTTAAGAGACATGAAAGATAAAATATCTCAGTCTATCGCCCTCAGATTTAATTTGGGAAAAATGCATTCATATTTGAAGATTTCTAAAATGTTTTAATTTGCCTCTTAAAAATGGATCCCTCATGTTTTCAAATAGTAGCAAAAAAGACCAGGAAAGGACAACAGTTAAGTGTATATATAGTAAATACAGGATGACTTTTCCTTACATTGTTGACATTTAGTTTTAAACAGTATTGGCTAAATAACCTAAGTAGCTATTTCAAATAAAATCTGAATGAAAGCAGCAGCGAGAGACACGACTTTTTGAGATCCTTTTATTTTCTAAAGGATTGTTTTTTAAAATTTTAAACTACAAAACCGATTCCTTACATTCTGCCATAAATAAAACAAACAATAAGGCAGGACTCTACATAAGCAAACCAAGAACAGCTGTTGTTTTCAGAAAATGTGATAAAATGCTTTACAATCATAAGCCATCCAGTTTTTAAAATAAAACTGTTGAAAACCCACAAGTCTTCAAGTGGTACATACAAGACACCCTTGAAGCGGGAACAAAATGTGGTTCTGCCACTTTGTACTCTTCTCACATTTTTGAAAATCTAATTTTTCTTAGAGCATAGGTCTGTTCCACATCCTAAAATTCACATAGGTTGGTTGGTTTTTCTCAAGAAGCATATGAATAGAGGCACCAATGACAATACAACTTTGTTTCCAAGAACTTTGTAACAAAGCATTGTCTCTTTTAAACATATGACTTAAGAGGCAAAAGGAATCCTGGATAGGAGTTTTCTTTCTGAGGCAGGTTCTGTGCCTGCTTCACCGAATTCGCTTCTGCTGCCTCGCTCTGTAAATGTCATGAACAGGGGGAACGACAGCTCCCTTTTCCTCATCTTCGTCTGAATCTTCGTTGGGCCTTTTGACAGCCTTGGTGAGTACTGCATTACTTTCCACCGGGCCATTGCCTTCTACAGCTAGCTCTGGGGCTCCTCCAGTAATGATCCTCACAGCTTCTTCAACTGCTATTGAAGCAAAACAAAAAGGACTGTTGTTGGAGGATGTTTAAAAGTATGCTACTGTGGAGGAATATGTATGTACTACTTTGGATACTTTATAATTTTGTAGCCTCCTATTAGGAAATTCTGAGATAGTACTACTGATACTATTGAATAAATAGTTAAATACAAAAAAGCTGCTGTTTAATAAAATTATTTTCATAAGCCAAACCTGATAGTGCATGTTCACATGAATAGAAAAGATATGCTTTTTATGATGTTTTTCTTAGAAGAATAAGAACATGAACAAGCCTCTCTGTACCAAAGAGATCCAAAGGATCCCTCCTAGGTGTCACTGTACTTCTGCAAGATGGCTAGCTGGTTTTGGAAACTTCAGTGCCAAAGAATGACAGTCTCTCCTGCCTAGGAAACAACAATGTGAATTCCACTCTAGTAATGGAGACTCATCACTTACTATTTGGTATCTTGCATCTTCGGAAAATTTCCATCAGTTCATCCACTTGTACAAAAGGACCCTATTTTGACACAAAGAAAATTTAATCCCCAATAATCTGACAAAAATAGCCCTACTTTGCATTTCCCATGATACAAGAGAAAAAGCACACAATTACTATAATTACCCATAGAGCAAATATCTATCGTGAAAATAGTGAACAAACCTGGAAACAAATGGGAGGAGGGAGAAGTTTCATTAAAACAACTGCTGCAGGTGGTACTGGGAACACTCCACCGGGGACAGGGTGTAAGCCCGGAGCTGTAAAAGAAAGAAAAGTAGGAATCAAATGGGATGGAAGAGTTTCTGCACATGTAATGAACCAACATAAGTAACTTGTACATAAATTACTATGTACAAATAGTCATGTTGCTTTGTTCTGGACGTCTTAAAATGTTTTTAGTGCTTTATATGTTTGACCAAACGCAAGTGGGTGAGACAGTGAAAGCAGTCTCAACCCCGTGGCCACTGGGAGGCAGAAAAGTAAACAAGTGACTTTGCATAAGGCAACCCAGGCGCTGAGCTAGTCAGTTTTTGTCAAAGATCATGCCTAAGCCTCACAAGTCATTTTTTCAGCAATCCCATTTAAAGTCAGTTATACAGTAACATATTTAATCATAAGGGCCTTGTTCAAATAGAATCCAGAGAGGCTACTACCCATTAGTAAGTATAAACGATACCAAATAACATCACCAAAGTAAGTTTCCAGCTGTGCAGGTAATCTGTATGTAGCAGCATTTCTGAAAACTGTCTTAAGTATCACTGCCAAAATGGGTTACTGCAATCTGGATCAATGAGGTTTTGTTTTTTTCTTTTTTAAGACATTTTAAACTCATCTTGGTTCAAAGATTACAGCCAAACCACCTGTCATAGTGACCCTGAGTCTAATTATTAACCTACAATGGAAAGGTCACATTACTTTGCCCCCCACACCTCTCCAGTTAAACCAACAAACAAACTGAGGTCTCAGTACTGGATCTAAAGTCATGGCTTACGTGCTAAATGTCGTGGCTGAAATGGAATCATCTGCTGAGTGTCTGGTTTAGGGTATTCTGGTTTTCTATCCACTTCATCTTTCAGAACAGGCACTATAGAAGGAGCTACAACTGGGTCTGGAATTATAGCTGCTAGCTTAGCACGGGAGACATCCTGAAAATGCAGAACAGAAGAATCCTAAACCTGAAAAAGGGACTTATAGAGTAAAACTGTGCAATTCTACAATCTTGAGGATACACTGTGAATAACTGGGTTAAAACCATAGAGAGAATGGAGAAAGATAAGCGAGAACTTCCATGACAGTAAAGGTTGTTAACAAGGAAAGCTAAAGGGCTGTAAAGACCAGTGTTAAGAATCATTAGACTCAGTGTTGCCAGGTGGGACACTTGTAGGATAGATACAAGCTTTTGTAGGTAATACATACCAGGTAGAGGTGGGGTAATTTGGAAGAAAATCTGCGGTTTTAGATACTTTCCTGATATCTCCCTTCCACTAAAATTGAACATCATCTACCAGGTTCTCTAAGTGAAGAAGCTGGATTAAGAAAGGTGCTGTTTCATGAAACCTAACATAAAGCTTATCATCACTTACATTAGTTCATAAGATTTTGCTAATGAAATGAAAAATTACTCCCAAAATACTGTTATAGGGGAGAAGGAATGTTTGTTGAGCAACCACTATTTGTCAGTTTTTGCCATTTATTCCCTCTCTGAGGAGGCAAATAGTAACACCTCCATTTTACAGAAGGAGCTGACACTCAAAAGAGGTTCTGCTGTCTCCAATGTTAGATGGCTAAGAAGTAGAGAGAGGATTTGAGAGCACAGGCCTCTCTGACCTCACACCCATCCAGTCTTCTTTTCAGTGTCCCAGCAATGCCTGCCAGAGCTGAAAGCAACCCTCTGAGATATGTCAAAGGGAGCAACATGCTACCTCTTAAAGAGGCCCTATCCCAGAGAAGTTCCTCTGCTACAGGTAACCAGTGTCAATCTGTCTAAAACCAAAAGAGCCTCTTTTGCCACCATCAAGGGATATAAGAGAATTTCATATTCTCAAAGTTTGCTCATATGCATTTGGTGGCAGATCTAAATGAGTATGCCTACTGGGAATTACTTTTTTTTCTTTCTTTCCCTCTCTCACTTATGTGTGACACACAAAAGCATAATAATCCTTTCCAAATAAAAAACCAAACAAATACAAGATGGAAAATTCATATTCAAGAAGTAGTTCTACTTAGTAAGATCTTTTCATTAACTTCCTTAATTTCCATTTTCATCTTGGCAAAGTTGAAATAGCCTAAAAATTCCACATAATATTCTTTAAATGTCTTTGGCTTTTCATTAAGAAGTAGTTAAACCAGAAGCAGAACCTGCTGATCCCCTAAGCAGTAACCCCTTAGTTCAGAATAGGAACATGGGGCTGGCACACAACTGGAGCTTCCATTAATGAAAAGGTCTGAAGTTTATTTTAATCTGGTTTAGCCAGTGAGACCCAGGCTAAAAGAGGGCAGTGAGGAAATACAGAGTGATGGTGAGGAACATCCTAATGCCAGCTGGCTTAAGGGGACCAATCGAGGACTCTTGTGGATATAGCTTCCCTTTGGGCTTCCATCTTGGTCTTTGTTCACATGACACAGAAAAATCAAGAAATGATAGAACAATGGTCTTCTCAGAAAGGGCTATTTCTAGGAGTGTGTAAACATTAATCTTTCCCCTTGGCCTGAATGAGTTCAGGTTCCATATTTGTTTCCTTATGACTCAGTAGTCCAAACAGAAGAGTTCCATTCCTAGATAAGCTAATTTCCTAAAGGACCCCACTGAAGGAGCCCTGTTTTAAAGATACAAATCCTTCAAGGAACTTTATGGATTTAATAAGCTATAATGTTTCTTCATTATATCTACAAAATATATAGCAGGAATTACTATATATGATCTCCTGTCAAAACACACACATCAGTCTTAAGAGCTATTAGAGAAAAACTAACCTAAGTGACATTCAGATTTTCTTTTGTTTTTCTTCCTTCACCCACCTCCTCCATCTGCCCACAAGACATAAGATATAAGGCATTAACAATTTCCAGGAAAGAAAGTTTGTTAAATCTCATTTTAATTCTCATTTTGTTCAGTATTGTTGATAGTCAATATTTCACAAACCCAAGGAAAATCCCTGAACTTTTTTCTATTCTGCAAATCTATTCTAAAGCTCGATTAATTTCTATTTCAGAATTTACTTTAGAGTGAAGTTTATCCATGAACTATTCTAAAACATTAGGAAAGTAAAGACACTACACACATCTTGAGCCCAAGTACATACCTTATACCCAAGCGCTTTTAGTTCACTTGCAGAGCAAGGATATAAATCCATGAACTTGTATCTATCTACCAGTAAAGCTGTTTCTTTGCCTTCATACTCTTCTTTGAATGCTGTAAACCGTCTTTTCTCCACTTTGAGTATACTAGCTAGATCACCAATATTACTTTCAAAAGCTAAAAATCGGGCCCAGATTTCTCTGTAAGAAAATAAATATAATCAATACTTTACTATTCTGGGTTTGAGGCTTACAAAAAATCTTTGAGTTCCCTTCCTCCCCCCTTTTTTTTAAAATTATACAAATCTCTCTTTTTTTTATTATAAAGATTTCCAAACTTCAGAAAAATAGAGTAGTGTAATGAATGCCTATATACCATAACCTAGATTTAATCATTATTAATACTTTGCCATATTTGCTTTATCTTGTTTTTGCTTAAGTATTTGAAAGTAAATTACAGTCATCATAACCCTTTACCCTAAATACTTTCATATTTAAGGCTTTTTTTTTGAGTTTTTACTTATTTAGCATACCTTCCTATCCTTTGTGGCCAATAAGAGAGACATTTACACTAGAGAGAGTAAACTCTAGGTGGAAGAGTTGAAAAAGGAACCTAGAGAGATTTCCAGTTTCTCCTGAATAATGTGGCTTCACCATTTTGTAGTCGCATGAATTAAAATGTAGAATACATTCTTGGGGCAACATATGAATAAAAATATATTTTGAAACCTAACATGCTCTCTCTTTTTTCCCATTAATACGGATCACTGGGGACAAATTTGTGCCTCACCACTTTTCTAACAGCCAAAATTAATTCTCTAAGACTCTACTTAGAGAGTAAGTAGATATCAGTAAGGCTTACTTAATACTTACTGATACTTAAATATCAGTAAGGCTCATGCAGCTCAATATCAAATAAACAAACAACCCAGTCCAAAAATGGGCAGAAGACCTATATAGACACTTCTCCATAGAAGATATACAGATTGCCAATAAACACATGAAAGGATGCTCAACATCACTAATCATTAGAGAAATGCAAGTCAAAACTACAATGAGGGCTTCCCTGGTGGCACAGTGGTTAAGAATCCACCTGCCAATGCAGGGGACACGGGTTTGAGCCCTGGTCCAGGAAGATCCCACATGCCGTGCAGCAACTAGGCCCGTGCGCCACAACTACTGAGCCTGTGTGCTTCAACGACTGAAGCCCGCATGCCTACAGCCCGTGCTCCGCAACAAGAAAGGCCACCGTAGTGAGAAGCCTGCGCATCGCAACGAAGAGTATGCACAACTAGAGAAAGCCCACACGCAGCAACGAAGACCCAACACAGCCAAAAATAAATAAATGAAATAATTTAAAAAAACGTAAAAAAAAAATCTACAATGAGGTATCACCTCACACCGATCAGAATGGCCATCATCAAAAAATCTACAAACAATAAATGCTGGAGAGGGTGTGGAGAAAAGGGAACCCTCTTGCACCGTTGGGGAGAATGTAAATTGATACAGCCACTATGGAGAACAGTATGGAGGTTCCTTAAAAAACTAAAAATAGAACTATTATATGATCCAGCAATCCCACTACTGGGCATATACGCTGAGAAAACCATAATTCAAAAAGATACATGTACCACAATGTTCATTTCAGCACTATTTACAATAGTCAGGACATGGAAGCAACCTAAGTGTCCATCAACAGATGAATGGATAAAGAAGTTGTGGCACATATATACAATGGAATATTAGCCATAAAAAGAAATGAAATTGAGTATTTGTAGTGAGGTGGAAGGACCTAGAGTCTGTCATACAGAGTGAAGTAAGTCAGAAAGAGAAAAACAAATACCATATGCTAACCCGTATATATGGAATCTAAAAAAAAAAAAGGTTCTGATGAACCTAGGGGCAGGATAGGAATAAAGACACAGACATAGAGAATGGACTTGAGGACACGGGGAGGGGGAAGGGTAAGTTGGGACAATGTGAGAGAGTGGCATGGACATATATACACTACCAAGTGTAAAACAGATAGCTAGTGGGAAACAGCTGCATAGCACAGGGATATCAGCTCGGTGCTTTGTGACCACCTAGAGGAGTGAGATAGGGAGGGTGGGAGGGAGACGCAAGAGGGAGGAGATATGGGGATGTATGTATAGCTGATTCACTTTGCTATAAAGCAGAAACTAACACACCATTGTAAAGCAATTATACTGCAAAAATAATGTTAAATAAATAAATCTCAGTAAGCACCTTTGTACTAAAGTAATGCACTGAGTTCCTATTATATACTAGGTAGAGGACTATCACAAAATTCCTACACTGGTAGACATTACTGCTACTTGACAAGAACGTAAGGATTGGCAAGAGTGAGGAAATATGCCCAAGGTGTAGTTGCCTGAGCTGGAATTTGAACCCAAGACTCCAAAGCCTTACTACTTTCACTGTACCACTATACCATATTGTTCCTCCTGTAAAACTGACAGAGTCAAAACCATAAATCAGGGATATAATTTGTCAAACAAATTTTCATTTTGTCAAGAGTCTTTGCTCTCGAGTAAGAAGTAAAAATTTCAGAACTCTTCTCTAGTTTGTTCATATAAATTTCTAGGGATATATACCAAGGTATATTAAAATATTTAATAATAAATTGCTAAGGCATCTCTCAAAATAATCCTAGTCAGTATGCAAAAAATTTTTTTAACAAATCTTAAACAGGTATGAAAATATGGCAAGGCAGGCATTTGTAAATTAAGCTTCAAGAGAGAAGGGAAATTTCTCCTGGAACTCACAACTCACTCCTGGAACTCACAACAAGCAAATGTTCATCCCATAGACTGCAATTCAAATATTAGAACCCGACCAGTAAGTTTTCAAAATGGCTTACCCAGACTTCTCAGGTGGAAGACTTCCAGATGTTAAAACTCGTTCAAACAAAACTCGAGTATTATTGTCCTCTAGGATATTAAAGAAGATTTTAAATATTTTTAAAAATTCAGTTTTATAATTCAACAATGCATTATCTCATTTAATCCTCACAAAAATCTTATGCAGAGAGATCTATTATCACACCCAATATTTATAGATGAGGAAGCTTGAGGTTCAAAAAGATGAAGTGAGTTGATGTGGCTCACAGTTACTGAGTAATACAGCCATAACTAGAAGCCAGGTCTTTTTACCTCTAGTTTAGCCCTCCTTCTATAGTATAGTGTAGTTGTAATGTCAAACAATTTATAACAGTGTGATATCTGAATCGGGTATCTCATTTTTTTTTAATAATGAAAATTGCATACCGTTGACATTATAAGAATCAAACTATTGATATTTTTTAAATACACTGAATGTGGAGGATGACAAGCTCAAATTTAGATATTTGATTTTCTTATTTTGCAGCACCAGGACTACTCTATATTTAACTACTTTAAATTCTTATATAGGTACCATATCTAGATTGGTAGATAAATATGCAAATGGAAAATGAATAAGAATGGTCACCAGAGGTGGATTAAAATTTAAGAGTCTCGGGAGGTCTGTAGTTGGAAGTGGAAAATGACACTTCTTGCTAAGCTCTAAGGGATCTATTAAAATTTAAGAATCTAGTAGTAAATTTACTAACACTCTTTGAACTGCATATTTTAAATTGGTGCATTTATGGTATATAAATTATGCCTCAATAAAACTGTTAAAATCCAACAGAGTAGTTGGCTTTTACTGCCGCAGGGCAGTTATTCAGTTTTACTACATGTCCATAATATGCAAAGTCAAACCAAGAGATTACATGTATTGAACCAAAGAAGATGGCACCATATTCATGGCTTTCATCTTCAACTTAACATACTGTACTTAAAGAAATAAGTAAATCCTGCATTTTATTCTTTTAGCTTTATTCCAAGCTTTGCTCCAGACACACTTTTTGCCATTCCACATAACTTTCCACTGCTTATTACATGCTGTGTTCTCCTGGAATAATGCATTTTCCTGTATCTTTAGGAAAACGATTACTTATCCTTCAAGACCCATCTCATGCTGCCTTCTCCCACCCTCTAGAACAGCACTATCCAATAATTTAAATTTGCTGCTAGCCACATTTAAAAGAATAAAAACAAACAAAAACAAAAATAAAAGAATAAAAACAGGTGAAATTAATTTTAATTTATTTTATTTAACCTAAATATCTAAATTATCATTTCAACATGTAATCAATGTGAAAAATTATTAAGATATTTTACATTTCTTTTCTACTATCTCTTTGAAGTCAGTATGTATTTTAACTTACTCCACATCTCATTTTGGCCTAGCCACAATTCAAGGGCTCAAAACTTAGTAGTCTGGTGGCTACCATAATTGCATAGCACAGCTCTGGAACTTAGATTACACGCTCCTCTCTGTGCTTCCAAAGTAATTCATTCAGGGCTCTATTACAGAATTTAGCACATGCTTTTCATGACTGCCACCATCAGCTTAAATAGTTAACATTTATTGTATGCTTACCACATTCCATATATAAGTCAAATACATGCAAAAGTTCATTTAATTATCTCAACAGTTCAATGAAAGGTACTCTTATTATAACCATTCTGTAGATGAGAAATCTGAAACACCATTATACACCTAACCCCAGAATTTATGCCACAATTAAGAATCAAATGATGATGCAATTATGTTTACACATCTGATTTCCCCAGGAGAATACTCTGAGGGTAACAATGGAGTCCTATTCTTGTACTTCCAGACCTTACTACCAAAGCTACTGAATAAATGATGGGTTGATGAATAAACAAACTAAGACACTGATTTTAGAAGATAATAATGCTGACATCAGAGTTCATCCCAATTTTAGAGTAAAATATTGTACATCTTAGTAACTATTCTAAAAAATCAAGCAAAACAATATAAAACTGGTAAGGAACATTCATTTCATACAAGAAAATTATATGAAAATTTTCTTTAGCCCCAGCTCAAAAATCTTAAATGCTCCACTGTCTCACTTTTTGGAGTTAAGTCCTTTTCCAGAGAGTAGAATCACTAAGCTGAAATATAAAATCATGTTTAAGTTTTATTCTTTTCTACTATTTAGGTATATAGAATGCTACATTTTTCTAAAATATCATTAAAATCACTAATATTTACCTGTGATATCTAATTTACATCTAATTATTTACATGGCACATAATTTCATATTTCTTTCTTAAATCAGTTTTTAAACCAGATCATTTTCAGTCAAGAAATTACATATCCTGGACTGTGGGTAACTAGACTAAATAAGATACATACATAAATATACAGATCCTCTAGCCTAGTGCCTGGTATAAGGTAGGAACTCAATAAAAGATGGTCATTATTATTACAACAAAATAGGAAAATAAAGATGCTTATAAACATAATGTTTCCTTTGAAATATCTTCCCCAGTAGCCTCAAAGCAGTTTACTACTTGGGCATCTTTGAGTTTTCGTGGCTAGATATTTGTGGCTTTACCCTATTACTGTTGGGACTTTGATGCTAAATTAAAGACCATTCTGCAGAATCAAAAGGCATCAACCATTATACAATAAGTGTAAATTCATAGTTGACAGGCCACAAATATTTGAGTGCCTATCAAGTGCCTGGTTCTGGTGTGATGACAGAATATAATACATTTGAGAAAGAAAAAAACCCAGCAACATAATTTCAGAGAATGACATTGATGGTTTAATATTAAGTAACCATTACAGATCTAGAATCTACTTACCATTGAGGTGAGAAAGATAGTCAATATAGGCCAGGACATATTCTGGAATGTCTCCATATTTCTTTAGCCCCAGCTCAAAAATCTTAAAGGCAACAGATTTGTCCTAGAAGTAGAGAGGAAACTACTGATTTCCATGCAGTGTCAGACAAGATACTCAAAGAATATTAAAACTATAACATCTAAATATGACAACGTATATTAAGAATTAAAATGGAGATTAAAATTATGTTAAGTAAAAATTACAGAGCTAAAAACCATTCAAGGGGATTCAGATTCATAAATATGGAGTTTAATAAGGTATAAACTAACAGGCAGAGTAGCCCCCACTCGCTGCAGCTGGAGAAAGCCCGCGTGTCGCAAAGAAGACCAACGTGGCCAAAAAAACAGATAGATATAAATAAATAAATAAATAATAAAACTTAATGATAGAAATTAGGACTGCCTTTCTTTTAATTAATTTATCTCATATGAAGGAAATTATTTTATCTTTATATTTTATTTGAGGACTTACCTTACTACAATAATACTCCATGAGTGCTGCAGTAACATAGACATGGTGGCGGGTTCTGGTATCTTCTCTTGCTTTTTTAAATATCATTCTTCCAGATTTAATACCTTCTGCTCTTCTTGCAAATTTCATATATTGGATATATACCTACACAAAAAAAGTATTTGTTTTCTACAGACTGTAGCATCCAATACAGGTTCACCTTACTTCAGTACTAACACGTTTTGCTGTATAAGGAAGCAATTTTGAATACTTGAGAAATAAAAAAGATTATAGATAGTGTACTATTTAAATCCACGAGCAAATTTTTTCTGGTATTAAAGACGTGCACATTAATATTTTAATTGAGATATAATTCACATAGCACAAAATTCACCCTTTAAATATATAATTTAACGGTTTTTAGTATGTTCACAAGGTTTTGCAGTCATCACAATTATCTAATTCCAGAACATGCAAATTAAATCTTAAGGAAGGAATAAAAGTGAAAATACTAGAAAATGCTAGTATTTCTTGATTTATTACTTTTAAAAGCCCACTACTCTATTTCCTAAAGACCATATAATGTAACTTTATTGATAAACTATTTGAGTCATTTTATACTTAGCACCTACAGAGTGCCCCAACACATGATGAGTATGCAATATTTGTTCAATGAAAAAACATCTCTGGACTGTACACAGGGTGACTATGAGTAGGGTCCTGATTTGCTCAGTTTTGATGATGTCAAACTACATTGCCTAGTTTAGACAGATGAATAGATGGATGAATGAACTATGAGTTCCTTGAGGAAAGGAATTTTACTTATGTGTCATTATACTGCTGGAATCTAGCACAGTGCATAGCACAGATCAGTTTGCTAAATGAATTTTAAAATGATGACTAAATGCAAGCAATTAGAGCAGTGGAATCCCATGATAAACAGACAGAAAAAGGAGTATAGCTGTAGTTGACTTGAGGCAGAGGGTCTAGAGCCCCATGCATGGGCCCCTCCCCTTCCCCTCCCACTGAAAGAACTCTGCTGCACTTTTGCAGAAATTCAGGGCTTTGAAAACCACAATTACAGAGTTGAATTCAGGATAAAGTGAGTTCTTGTCCAACTTCTTCCCAGAATGTTGGTTTCTCTTGCCTCCATTTATTTAAAAAGAAATATTTATTAAGCAACAATTATGTGGTATTCAAGCCATGCTCACAAGGAAGGTGTTAGAGAAAGCTCCACTGTGGCTGGTTCATAGCGCTGCACTTACAAACAACAACAGAAGAAACGAGCAGAAAGCAGATCTGCAATTGTCGGGCTGGGAGACAGGGAAGGGGTGACTACAAGGGGGTCACACGAGGGAATTTCTGTGGGGTGATTGAAGTGTTTTGTATTTTAATTGTGATGGTTGTCCCATAACTCTATGTTATTGGTCAAGATTCATAGAACTAACAATTCAACAAAAACAGTGAATTTTACTTTATGTAAATTAATTTTTTTTTAAATTAAAGCAGACTACAAAAGTGGGAAAGAGACTTGTAAAGTTACTTACCAAGGTGGGGTCAATATCCTCAATTGCCAGAAGTCTGTTATATATACTGTGAACTTTCTCATACTTCATGCGACTCTAAGGTGGTAGAGAAGAAGTGGATATAAATATATATTCATAAACAAGCAGCATTTGAGCTCTGAGGAATCCAGAGGCTGCACCCCACAAAGGCATCTGCTTTGAACATAAATATATAATGAGCTAAGGACTAATAACTGTTCATTCTGCATTATCTCTGTCTTCCAAAAGTAATATGCCTGGCAAAGAAGCAGCCAGAAAAAAAATTCAGTGCTGCAGTAAAAAATCCAATTACAAGAAAGTTCTAAATATTTTAACTCACCTCTTCATAATCTGCATATGCAAAATAAAGAAGCATATTCTTCTTTAATAAAGTGCTTATGGCTCTTTCATATATATTAGCAGCTTCATCACTAAATAATTTGGCATTATTCATATCCTAGGAGAGAAAAAAGAAAGCTCACTTACAATAATTTCAATAAAGCTGAAAGAGAATAAAACACACACTCATATGTTTATACCTATGGACACATGCATTTCTTGATTCTTAAGAAATCCCAGGGACTTCCCTGGTGGTACAGTGGATAAGACTCTGTGCTCCCAATGCAAGGGGCCCAGGTTCAATCCCTGGTCAGGGAACTAGATCCCACATGCATGTCGCAACTAAGAGTTCACATGCCACAACTAAGGAACCCTCCTGCTGCAATTAAGGAGCCCACGTGCTGCAACTAAGACCCAGTGCAACCAAATAAATAAATAAGTAAATATTTAAAAAAATTCCAAAGACTTTTTCCATTATTTTAACATAAAGAAGAATCACAGAAGTACTCTAAATGATTTATCACTTTAATACATTAAAGAAGAGCCACTATATTTTAATTCTGACTAAGGTAGTCTAATCATATAAGAGGGTCACTAAGATTCATAGTGACATAAGATTAAAATTTTCAATACCTACACTTCATTACCAAAATTCAGTGCTATACTTTTAGCAAATTATTGCTATATCAAAACCATGAAAAGACCAAAAGGGGGAAACAAATAAATACTCACCCCTTTCTCTGCTAACAGTTTACTTGACTGCTCAAGATACTGGGCAGCTTCATACCAAATATCAGGGTGATGGCCCAGCACAAGCAGGCACTGTTCATAAGCAAACATAACTAAGGGAAGACATTTGCAACATTCAATTAGAATAAATATTATTTACAAAACTATCAATACAAGCGTCACAACTCAATTTTTAGGCTAAGACAGAGCCCTCAGTAATGAATGATAATTGGAAATAAAAAAACTTTAGTGATTTCTGGCATTATCATCCACCCAAACCCCATCCATTCGTCATTTATTAAATTAATATTTATTGAGTACCAACTATATGCTAGGGAATGTGAAAGACACTGTGAATATACCAGTAAATAAGACTTCCTATACTCAAGAAGTCTGCAGTATAGTGGGAAGATCGATATTAAGAATGCAGTTATGGTAAGTGATAAGTATTATGATGAGGAAAGTAGAGTGTACTCTTGAAACTTACAGCAGCAGGACTTAACATAGTTTAGAGACTCAAGAAAGGTTTCACTAAGGAACTGATATCTAAGCGAAACCTGAAGAAGGGGTAGAATCTGGTCAGATGAGAGAGTAAGTAGAGGCAGGAAGGACAGGAGTAGATACAAAAATGGTGTAGGCAAAGGAAACAGTACTTGCAAAGGCCTCCAGCTGAGAGAGCAAGGCAAGATTGAGGAATTTTTTTTTTTTAAGTTCCAAATTCTAGTTCTGACAGTGCCAGAGTAGTCTGTATCAGACTAACTCTCCTGAAAAAAAAAAAATCATAAACTGAAAAATACAAAAAGCAACTGTTTAAAGGCACTAGAGAATGACCAAAAGAAAAAGAAACTGGAGAGGACTGAGCCCTTAAAAAATTGGAATCATACTAGGTGAGATATATATTTAATATGGCTTTTTCCCACAAGTGCAAACCCCTATGTGTATAGTTCTGGGATAGCTAGAACTCAAGCCAAATGCTGAAGTCTTACTGGCTTGAGGTAAGTAACATGGAGTTCTGGGTTACAAGAACAGCTGGAAATTAAGGGGGAAGATCCCCCAAAAGAGAGCCACAGAAGGTGGAGGCTGAAAATCTGGGCCTAATGCCCTCAAATCTTCAACTGACTCTAAAATAGACATACACAGGAAAGAATACAAACAGCCAGAGCAGAAAGCAAAGCTGAAAGAGCTGGATAGATATCTCATCAGCTGCCCACTGTAATGGAGACCAAGTCTGGAATCTGAGTCCCATCAAGTTAAGAGAGTCTGAGTAAACACCTTGAACTTTCCATTATATCTTGGGAGTAAAGACTATATCCCAGGACTAAGAGATTTACTGTGAGATGAAGGCCACTAACAGAGACTCATCCTAACAGTGTAAAACCAAGCCTCCACAAGGTCCAGGAGACCTGCCAGTAATTTAACTCCCTGCTAAAAGAAAACTCAATATTCTTCAGAGGAAGATAACAGAATCTAGTCTTTACTATGTATCATTTACACATCTGTACAATGTCCAAAAATTTTTTTTAAATGTCTAGACTTGTGACAAAACAAAAAATGTGACCCACAGTCAAGAGGAAAAGAAATCAACACCACAATGGCTCAGATATTGGAATTAGCAGACGAGGATTTTATAACTATTGTTATAAAAATGTTCAAGGATATAAAGAAAAAGATGGTATTGGCCATGGAATCTTAACAGAAAAAGGAAAACTATAAAAAACAAAAATTTCTAGAATGGAAATTTATACAACTGAAAAGTAGAATATTTGAAATGAAGAATTCACTACATGGGCTCACCAGCATATTGGATATGATAAAGCAAAGGTCAATGAACATGGAGACAGATCTATAGAAATTACTGAATCTGAAGAACATAAGAGAAAAAAAGACTGGGAGTAAAAAACAGCCTCGGTAACCTATGGGATAATATCAAGTGGCCTAACATACACATAATTGGAGTCCCAGAAGGGTTAGTCTTGTTACCTCTTTTAGTTATAAGAGTCTGATCTTCTGTACGAAGAGGGTTGCTCTTTTCCCACTGTATGTATTTCTTCCACATATCTACCTGCTGAGCTTCTTGAGGAGTATTCTGAGGAGGCACTGAGGGAGCATTGCGGTCCAAACCTTTCATTACTGTCTCATATTCCTAGACAACAAGTATTTAGAATTCTGTGGTAAGCTGAGGAACAACTCAGATGTATGAAATGGAGTTGATCTGTTTGAAATACTTTGTTCAAAATGCCTAGTTTTTCCAAATACTACTTTGTTAATATAACCTAAAAACTATTTAAGAGCAGGAATAAAGATAACAGAAGATTACCTACCCAAGAAGAGGTTCCCAGGACTGGGTGAACAGAACAGCCCTGGGCCCTCTCTGGAGGTGATCTAGGAAGTCACTCTTCAGGACAGAGGAGTTGACAGATCAACATGACTGATGATCTGGTGGCACTGTTACTGCCACCTTTGGAGAAATGATCTGTCTTTTAAAATTTCAATAGTTCATAGTCTAGGCTATTTTCCCTAACTTCTAACAGTGTCAACAAATGGAAAGTTATGTACACAAGACAAAACTCGGTCCCTGAGAGCTATGTCATTAGACCACAGATTATTACAGTATTCGGATATGTATGAGCTGACAGGAGGGATGGATAACAACTACTTGATCAACTCTAGGTAGAACTTTGTCTCTATGACCTCTGTTTCTATATTTTAAAAAATAATTTCTTCCAAACTTGATTTATTCTATTTTGTCCTTTAACATGTCTGTAAAGAGGTATTTTGCTTCAAATAATCACCTGCTCAGACAACGTAATTAATTGTCATTAGTTAAGACTGCTAATGATTGAAAATACTAAGAGTAATACCAGATAGGGAAAGTGCCTGTGTAAATAACATACTCACAACAAACAATATAGTAAGTGTCCTGATAGAATTCCATACCTTTGCTACCCGCCTAGCATTCATGTAATCCCTACTCCGATCTTCAATCATTTTTTTAGCTAAATGAATATTGATACCCTAAGGAAAAAAAAAAGAAAAATGCATATTATTTGAAAATTAAGTATATTTTAGTGTTAGCATAATATAGTATATTCATTTGCTAAATTACTTTAAAGTGTTTAAGAGGCTTTTTGGTTAGTAAAATAAAGGTTTGATCACATTATATGCTTAAGAGATGAAGGAGGATCTGCCTATGTCTTATGAGATGGCAGTAAGTTTCCATATGTCAGGAATTTCTAAAGAGAGGGAATGATTTGGAAAGGACCAATTATTTCACATAAAATTCTACTAATAAAGAATGATATACAGGACTTCCCTGGTGGCGCAGTGGTAAGAATCCATCCGCCTGCCAATGCAGGGGACATGGGTTCAAGTCCTGGTCTGGGAAGATCCCACATGCTGAAGAGCAACTAAGCCCGTGCACCACAACTACTGAGCCCGCGTGCCACAACTACTGAAGCCTGCATGCCTAAAGCCTGTGCTCCGCAACAAGAGAAGCCACCGCAATGAGAAGCCTGTGCACTGCAACGAAGAGAAGCCCCCACTCACTGCAACTAGAGAAAGCCCGTGCGCAGCATTGGAGACCCAATGCAGCCAAAAATAAATATATAAATAAAATAAATAAAAAATAGGGCTTCCCTGGTGGCACAGTGGTTGAGAGTCCACCTGCCGATGCAGGGGACACGGGTTCGTGCCCCGGTATGGGAAGATCCCACATGCTGCGGAGCGGCTGGGCCCGTGAGCCATGGCTGCTGAGCCTGTGCGTCCGGAGCCTGTGCTCCACGACGGGAGAGGCCACAACAGTGAGAGGCCCGCGTAACGCAAAAAATAAAAAATATAAATAAAAAATATAAATAAATAAATAATAAATGCAGAGGTAGCAAGGAGACATAAACATTATCATTCATGCTGAGTAGTTCTCAGAGTAGTCCAAAGCTTCCTGTTCCCCAAGACCCTTTCAGAGGATCCATAAGATCAAAACAATTTTCAAACAATACTAAGACATGATTTGCCTCTCTCACAAATATACAGTGGAGTTTTTCAGAAGCTACGTGACATTCAACAGCATAGCAGGTAGAATTTAGAAGCAGATATGAAAATCTGTCTTCTATTAAGCTAAATACCAAAGAGATTTGCAAAAATATGAAATAATGCCACTCTTCTCACTGAATTTTTTCTTATTTTGGAAAATATTTGTCTTAATACTATTTATGTTAAAATATAAGGAGTCTACTACTGCAAACTTTAAATGAATTAATAAATATCTTGAAACTTTCTCAGTTTTAATTCCAATATGCTAAATATTCATAGGTAAAAGCCACATCAAAATTAAAAGTTCTTTGCGGTCTTTAATACTTTTTAAAATCCCAAGACCAAAATGTTTGAGAACCACTGCTCATGCCTATGAGGGAACAGTTTCAATACCCTACATAGTTCTTCCAAATCACAGTGGACATGTGAGGAACTTTCTTTTAAAGATAGAGCTTACTTGGCATGTATGTTTACATAATGGGCTTATTAGTTCAGTTTGTTAAATCATTTTCTTATGAGACAAAGATCTTGGACCACAGCCCTACATCTCACAATTATAAGGGAATAATCACATCACTGTAACCAGGTGAAAGAGGGGCATTGCAACTCATCATTACTACTAGAAAAGCAGTTCTAAAAAGGAACTGTTTCATAAGAGATCAGTGGCAACATGTGTGTGTATGACTGTGTGGATATGGTTTAGCACTGATTAAAAATGGTTTGGTAAGAATTATAATTCTCCCAGAGTATTCTCTAAAAATAACTCAACAGTAAAATGAGACTCTCAAAACATTAGGAATGGTTCTTTCATTACAATCAATATGAAAATAAACGTATGCAGCACTGATATCCAGGTACATGATATTAGAAAGGCTAGCCTCCACAAATCCACAGTGCATAAAAATTTAAATGGCTTGGTCATAATAATAAATTACTGTGGCCTAATTTACCTCTTCATACTTGTTATAGTCTCTCCACAGTTGTTCAATGTTGATCATGGGATTAACACAACCTCGTTGATAAACTCTTCGAACAGCTGTTATTCTCTGATTTTCTGCATAAGATCCAACAGCTTCCCTGGCATTGGGTAAGAAATGCCATCAATTATAGCTAAATCAACTGTTCACACAGAAAATAAAACTATAAAAATACTTACACGCCTTTTAAGAAATTGATGTAATCCACCCAAATCTAAGAAATAAAATAAAATGTTAGTATCTTTTAGTAGTTTCAAATTTTTTAAATGTATGTATTAAAAAAAATTTAACTCTACCTGATAAGACATAATTTCCATTCCAATTTTATCCAGTGCAAAGTCATATGCTTGAGCCATTTTTTCTCTGAAATAAACATGAAAGACATGTTTTTTATAGAAAAAATTGCATGTTATTAAAATGTATCTACAGCTAAAACATAATCATGATTTCTGATCATATGATCAGAACAGCATTTAAACCGCTTATACAAACAAAATGTAAAGACATCTTTGCAAGTATATAAACAAAATATAAAGACTAAGCTCTTTTGTGTTTAGCTTGTCAATGTCATTAATTTATGTACTTTGTTTCTTTTACCTACTACTTGTAAGCTTATCAAAGATAAAGGCCATGTTTTATTTATCTTTATATCATTTATTAATTTTTTAAGACTTTTTTTTTTATGTGGACCATTTTTAAAGTCCTTATTGAATTTGTTACAATATTGCTTCTGTTTTATGTTTTCGTTTTTTGGCCACGCATGTGGGATCTTAGCTCCCCGACCACGGATCAAACCTGCACCCCCTGCGTTGGAAGGCAAAGTCTTAACCACTGGACCATCAGGGAAGTCCCCTCTTTATAGCCTTTAAATTGCCTAATCTTACATGTAGAAGATTCAAATGTGGAAATATCTGGTTCTTTGATTAAGAAGGTAAGTTATGTCTAAAGATCTATTAGCTCTGACATAAAATTTAGGGAGAAAGAACTTCTTCAGTGTAAGATAATAAACAATAATGAAGAAAAAAAAACAAAGATAGAATTCTGGTTATAGAAATAATCTGCCTATTTGTCATAAACAAAAACAGCATTTGAGAAGGTCCATTATTTAGATTCAACAAAGATAGACAGGTGGGGGTAAGTCCTAGTGAGGAGGTCAACTATACAACAATACCATTGTCAAAGATGCCTTGGAATACTTAAGTAGCATGTTACAATGTAACCTGCCAGGAGTGGTGCCATGACAAGTAATAAGATGCTTTTTATTAAAGTTTGTCAACAAGCCTGTCAACAAAGTGCTTTGGAGTTGCAAATGTACAGTGTTTCAGTATAGAAGAGGGGCTTGGATGATTCAATTCTCCAGAATAAATCTAATGCCAGTGGCTTTCTTTGAAGCATTTTCTTCCATGGTTTACTGACTTCTCAGAGAATCCTGACTTTGCAAATCTTAAGTTGCTTCACCCTCTGGGGTTAAGAGGTGTGAGTTTCTATGGGATTGACTGTGTGCCTCGGGATGACTTGCATTCTTAAGCTCCTGATTTAACTTACTTGTAACTTGGTAGTTTACCCTTGGTTTCTCGGACATATGAAAGATAACACTTCCATAAGTCAATGTGCAAAACCTTCATAAGGCATCTCTGAAATAGCTGTAAATACAATAAAATATCAGAATCCACAGTTAAATAAATTTCACATGTACATAGCTGAAATGAAACATTAAAGAAACAAATTCAGCTCCTTTCATGAATTTATCTTCTTACAAATAGATGTCAAATAACAACTCCCTCTATTTTGTTTAGATAATCAAAATCATTTTCATAATTTTGGTCAGCAGAGTCTAATTATTTTCTTTTCCAAAATTTTATTTTATTTTTAAAAATTTATTTATTTTATTTATTTATTTTTGTGTTGGGTCTTCATTGCTGCGTGCAGGCTTTCTCTAGCTGCAGTGAGCGGGGTTACTCTTTGTTGCCATGCGCAGGCTTCTCATTGCGGTGGCTTCTCTTGTTGCAGAGCACAGGCTCTAGGCACACAGGCTTCAGTAGTTGTGGCTCACGGGCTGTAGAGCACAGGCTCAGTAGTTGTGGCACACAGGCTTAGGTGCTCCACGGCATGTGGGATCTTCCCGGACCAGAGCTCGAACCTGTGTCCCCTGCATTGGCAGGCGGATTCTTAACCACTGTGCCACCAGGGAATTCCCCCAAGATTTTATTATGAACATTTTCAAGCATACAAAAGGGCTGAATAAGTACAATGAACTCCTATATAATCACTAGCTAGATTCAACAGTTGTTAACATTTTACTATATTTGCCTTATATACGTTAAGTCCTAAATTAAACTTCAGCATACATTCAAAATATTTAAGAGGACTCACCTTTTCGACCTTGTCATAATTTTTAGCTTTAATCTGCAGAGAAACAGAAAAATATAGAATTAACACCATTCTTTTTAGAGTACTATCACTATCTCTGAGTGTTTTGATTAAGCTTGTAAATTCATTTCTACACTTTCCTATTTAATTCTGCCTTTTGAAAATAACAATAGAAGTTTGAACCCAATATGGATAATATGCATTGTAAATATGCCTTACATAAATTAATTCTATATGGAAAAATTTTTATAAGCTCATTTATGTTGAACTTTTGTGAATTTAAAATTTTATAAAACAGTCACAAGATGAATAAATATAAACAAGGCATACTTGAATAGGGCTTTAAGTATCTAATGAAGACAAACTTAAAGCTTTATTTTCCCTGAATAGCTACTACTAGAACAATCTGAGTAGGGTAGCAAAAAAGATTTGTGAATTTTGACTACAAATAAATTTTAATCACTCAGTCAATTTACTATACTCCAGGCGCTGTGCTAGGCACTGGGGCTACCACAGTGAACAAAACATGCATAGTCTGCCTATGTCCTCATAGAGCTTACAATTTTACAGGGAAAACAAGTGTCAAGATGGGGGAACTACAGGGTGCTATGGGAGCATTTAGGAGGAGCATAAAACTCAGACTTATGGGGTTGCAAAAGATGTCCTGGAAGAAGTGAAGATGTTAAGAATGAGGTGTGAGGTCAGAATGGCTATCATCAAAAAGTCTACAAACAATAAATGCTGGAGACGATGTGGAGAAAAGGGAACCCTCCTACACTGTTGGTGGGAATGTAAATTGGTGCAGCCACTATGGAGGACAGTATGGAGGTTCCCTTAAAAATTAAAAATAGGGCTTCCCTGGTGGCGCAGTGGTTGAGAGTCCGATTCAGGGGACACGGGTTCATGCCCCAGTCTGGGAGGATCCCACATGCCGCAGAGAGGATAGGCCCGTGAGCCGTGGCCGCTAGGCCTGCGCGTCCGGAGCCTGTGCTCCGCAACGGGAGAGACCACAACAGTGAGAGGCCCGTGTACCGCAAAAAAAAAAAAAAAAAAAAAATTAAAAATAGAGCTACCATATGATCCAGCAATCCCACTCCTGAGCATGTATCTGGAAAAGACGAAAACTCTAATTTGAAAAGGTACATGCACCCTAATGTTCACAGCAGCACTATTTACAATAGTCAAGACATAGGAGCAACCCAAGTGTCTATCAAGAAATAAATGGCTTAAGAAGATGTGGTGTATATATATATATATATATATATATATATATATATATATATATACAATGGTATATTACTCAGCCATAAAAAAGAATGAAATATTGCCATTTGCAGCAACATGGATGAACCTAGAGAATATACTAAGTGAAGTAAGTCAGAGAAAGACAAATATTACATATCACTTATATGTGGAATCTAAAAAATAATACAAATGAATCTACATACAAAACAGAAACAGACTCAGAGACATAGAAAACAGACTTATGATTACCAAAGGGAAAAGGGAAGGGGAAAGGGATAAATCAGGAGTATGGGATTAACAGATACAAATTACTATACATAAAATAGATAAGCAATAAGGATTTACTGTATAGCACAAGAAACTATATTCAATATCTTGTAATAACATATTATAGAAAATAATCTGAAATGTACACACACACACACACATATACACACACACTTTGCTGTACGCTTGAAACTAACACAATATTGTAAATCAATTCTATTTTAATTAAAAACAGAGTTGTTAGACTGGTAAAGAAAGAGAGGAGTTATTCCAGGCAGAAGGAGTTGCATGTACGAAGACAAAGGTTAAATAAATACTATTAGAATTCCCTTTGAGTATTTTCATCAGATGGTAGGTGGGGTTAGTTATTCATTTGTGATATATCAGCAAATCTTTGTATCAGCTTGATAGGTGAATAATTTGACTGGTTAGAGAAACCTTGGCTTGTGGTCCTTTTCAATCAATAGTATAGATAAATTTTCCCACTGCTTTCTGGCTTAAGGTGAGGCAGATCAGAACTCTGGTGACAGGCTCTTTTTCTTTTGCTGATTACTTGCTCTTTCTCTCTGGAACTTGTAAGATTTCACCCTTGATCTTCAGAGTTCATAAACTGTAACAGGATTTGCTTAAATATAGGTCTTTGCTCTTTGAGGCAGTTATTCAAGGCTCTGGAGTCAAATCCCTTGGGTTCACTTTTTGGCTATACACTTAACCATTTTTCCTCTTCTGAATTAGGGGGGATAATAGTACCTATTTTGTAGGGCTGTTGTAAGGACTCAACGAGTTAATAAGTGGAAAGCCCTTAGAACACTGCCTAGCAGACTGAGAACTTAGTAATTGACATTTATTATTATTACCATGAATTCTGCCAAGGACTCAGCATGCCCTTTGAAGCTAGTCATGTCTTTCAGCTCGAGACTTTTCCTCTTTTTTAAATTATTGGCTCTCTTCAATCTGTTCCTTTTTTTTCCTTATTGAACTCCTATTATACACATTAGGTCTACTTCTTCTATCCTCAAAATCTGTTATTTTTACCCTTTCTTTGCCTTTTGGCTCTAAGTTTAAAAATACTTCTTCCGGGCTTCCCTGGTGGCACAGTGGTTGAGAGTCCGCCTGCCGATGCAGGGAACACGGGTTCATACCCCAGTCCGGGAAGATCCCACATGCCGCGGAGCGGCTGGGCCTGTGAGCCATGGCCGCTGAGCCTGCGCGTCCGGAGCCTGTGCTCTGCAACAGGAGAGGCCACAACAGTGAGAGGCCCGTGTACCGCAAAAACAAACAAACAAGCAAAAAACCAAGAAACTTCTTCCACTAGATTCTCTAGGCCACAAATTTAAGTCTCCATGTTATCATTTTCCTCCAGTTGACCTATTGCCGTAGTTGGTTCAAAAATAATGGCTTTTGGCGCCAGAGGTTTTTTTGTTTTATTTTTTTAAATACTGCACTTTCAATCTCACTGTGCTCCTATTATTTTGTTCAAGTTATTGTCTCTCTCCTCCAGCAGCTCTATTTTGCTGGGGGCCTGTCCCAACAGCTTGTTTATATTCCTTTCTTGTTGCTGGCTCCTTAGATATGCAATTATTTCTTCCATCTATTCCCTGAGCTCAGAGTTGGCAGTCCCAGTGTTGTAGTTGACCCTTCTCTACCACGAGAGCTATGTAGCAGGTGTAAACAGCAAGTTGGCTGTTGGTAGTCTTCTGACAAAAAAACAGAGAGAAATCTTTACTCAAGAGTAGGGAGGACTCAGCCTGCCAGTATGGCTCTTTTTTGGTTTCCTGGAGGCCAGGCTGATGTCAACATTCCTCTGGGGCAGAAAGACAGTGGAAGGGTGCCAAGTATTTCTGAGTCAGTTTCTTATTCTTTGTCCTAGGCACTCCACCAGCCCTGTTCTTCGAGACTGCAACAGAATCTGAGGTTTCCTTGCATCCAGCTGCTTGACTCAGTAAATAGGTTGAGTTGAGAGTAGGAGTGAAGTAAGACAAATTCAAGTCACCAGATTTCCAAGTGTAGATGACAGATTATATACAGTTCTTACAATTGGCCAGGAAAACCGAAACTATTCTTTGGGAAAATTGGCAAAGAATATGAATAGGCAATTCCTAGAAGAGAAAATGTAAATGGTTAAAAATAATAAGTGTTAAAAATAACACTGTTGGTGGGAATGTAAACTTGTGCAACCGCTGTAGAAAACAGTATGGAGTTTTCTCAAAAAACTAAAAATAGAATCATTATATGATCAGAAATTCCACTCCTGGGTATATATATCCAAAAAAACTAAAAATACTAATTTGAAAATATACATGCACCCCAATGTTCATAGCAGCATTATTTATAATTGCCAAGATATGTATGCAACCTAAGTGTCCATCAACAGAATGGATAAAGAAGATGTGGTAAATATATACAAGGGAATACCACTCATTCATGAAAAAGAACAAAATTTTGCCATTTACAGCAACATGGATGGACTTGGAGGGCATTACACTAAGTGAAATAAGACAGAGAAAGACAAATACTGTATGATATCACTTACATGTGGAATCTAAAAAATACAACAAACCAGTGAATATAACAAAAAAGAAGCAGACTCACAGATATAGAGAACAAACTAGTGGTTACCAGTGAGGAGAGGGAAGAGGGGGAGGGGCAATATAGGGGTAGGGGATTAAGAGGTACAAACTATTAGGTACAAAATAAGCTACAAGGATATAGTTACAACATGGGGAATATAGCCAATATTTTATAATAATTATAAATGGAGTATAATCTTAAAAATTGTGAATCACTATATTGTACACCTGTAACTTATATAACATTGTAAGCAACTATACTTCAATAAAAATAAATGCCTCCATTTAAAGCTCATTTTATATATATATATATACATACACACAATTTTGCAAAGATTACTAGAACTTGCTCACATCTTATCTATTACATTAAAAGTAATGTTATGTAAGTTTAAACTACAGGGGTCTTAAAAAATTATCTTTAGGGAATTCCCTGGTGGTCTAGTCATTAGGACTCCGCTTCCACTGCAGAGGGCGTGGGTTCCATCCCTGGTCAGGGAATTAAGATCCCTCAGGCCGCATGCCGTGGCCAAATACAAACAAACAAAAAATTATCTTTAGTCTTTGGTTCTCTAAATTGCAAACAATCATCTCAGGTGATTGTTAAAAATGTAGATTTCTGGTTTTCATAAACAGGAATCCTAAGTTATCCTAATGCGGAAAAGTTTTTAAGTGGTTGGAAACATACCAAAAAATGAACAATTTATATGTTAGTGTGATGGAATGATTGTTTTTTCCAAAGCTTCTAATAACACGGTATATTATTTTTGTAATTAAAAAAATCATTCCAAGAAAAAATTTAGGATAATTTTAATATTTATCCTTCGATATATCTATTTATCATCAAAATCTGTCATACAACTGCAATATTACTTTTTTGATGAATCATTTGAATTTTACCAAAATATGAAAAGTTGTGGTGGAGAAAAAGGGCTAAATTTTAAAAAATTGTCA